AACTGGGGTTTCTAACCAATTCGCTAGCCTCGCCTGCTGAGTTCCTGGACTTTAGGCTTTTGGGAAGACCATTTTAGTGCCAAATCTGAAATTGGACCTTTTTGGCCCATCCACGATCGGAAGTGAGTAACCTCGAGTCCATCCCCTTCCGAGGACATACTGCACGAGGTGATCCGAGCAGAGCTCGGTGCTTGAAGCGCAGCGCGTTTTGTGAAGCGGGCCGTAGTCCACGATTGTCGTTTTGGCTTTTGCCAAACCTATGCTTTGGGTTGCAGTAACCTTCATTTGTTCCAAGCCGACCTCTTGACCTTTTGGTTTTCCCTTTTTTGTCTATGTTTAGTAGTGGTCCCAAAAGGTTTACCTTTTATTTACAGCTCCTTTGGGCAACTGAGAACCGCAATAACCCACTTTTTAGGTTTACCAACCACAATATTGAGTTGCAATGATCCACTTTTTTCCGGAAGTTGTTGAGGGTCCAGGTAGTTCAAACCCAGCAGATCCCGGGCAAGACCTTGTAGTTGGTAACCAACTGTCTGTCTGTTTTTAATCTTGGGTTGCTCTTGGTTCTACCGTAACAAAAACAGCCCTGGTGAATGGATCCACAGGGTGAGCTTGCCGTTTCAGGCTGGGACATTGGTTCCGAGACATGCTTTCTTCGAGGATGGCCCTCGCCCATTTGGTGGGCGTGTTTTCCCCATTCATGGTCCTGAGTGGGGATTCCTGATTTCAGGTTTGCGACACCTGGTCCCTGTCTCTGCCCATAAAACTTGGTGGCTCCCGCCATCCCCTTAGCTTTTCAGTCTTTTAGTGTTTAGTGGGGATTTCCATTTAACCCGCTTAAGTTAAACGTTTAGCGCGGGATCTGAGGACAGCTCAGAAAAGAGGTGGAATTCGCGAATTCTATTATTGTGGGTTGCAATAGCACATTTCTTTTTACCAGGCACATGGAAATTGCGGACAAGCCGGTTGTGCACAGCCCTCTCAGTGCAATGTTCGGCATCTGATATGTTTTGCTCCTTCACCAGAATGATGGCAGAAATGAATTGAGACCTACCTGGAGTCTCCATGACCCGAAATAGAAATGGGTCCATGACCTCGAAAAATTTGGGTAATGACCAACCATGTTTAAAGCAGAAGGAGACTCAGTGCACAATTCGCATGCCAGGGTGTCTTGCCTTGTGCGACCCGTGGGGGGCCGATGAAGAGCTCATTCCACTCGTTCGAGTGGTTTTGTTTGAGTCAAAGGCGCTCACATGGGGCCTTCTTGTAGGGTGAATGGAGGGAAGGCACCTGCATTGAAGGACTTTTTGCGGAGCTTTAGAACTTTGGCCCAACTGCTACTGATGGTTGCGACATCCATTTTGCACCACCTAAGAGATCTTATCACTCGATTCCGCTAGCAAACAATGGTTTCAACCATGGTTTCAAATTGGTGCGAAATAGGTTTCGTCCATGCACAGTACCTCTCTTGAATTGAACTACGACTCTTTGGATTAACCGCCTGTCCATCTCAGATTGCTCAATTAGTCTGTCTTGGATTGAATTGGAGATTTGAAATCCGTCCCTTCAGCCAAACTGGGACCAAGGTCCAAACCAGTTTTCTGTAAAGAGACCCCACTGCTTGCCCAAGGACGTCTGTTGTTTTGCATGAAATGGCCGTGGGGCGTGTCAAAACCTGAGGATTTGTTGAAGCCTTGAAGCTTTTGTACTGGTGCGTTTGGCAGGGAATGAGAAATGCAATGACCCTTATGAACCATCCAACTGGTCTGCCTTCCTTTAAGCGCTTTAAGGGGACTCTCAAACGGTTCGTTCCCTCATTCCCTACCTATGGCATCAGCAAATTGTACTCAAAGGTCCAAACCTTCCAGTACTTCACACGGATCATTTTTTCGTATGTTTCCCGAATGCAATGCGAAGGGTTCCCGTTCATAAGTGGGGGTCTGGGGATGGAGCCCGTTTTTTGAGGAGTTGTTCCAGAGTTCAAGGTAGCGGAGAGTGGGCAGATTTCATTTGGGTTCGTGGCTTCTATCAGGTTTTGTGATTTTGGGGTTCTGTTCATTTTTTGCTTAGCAGGGGCTGCAAAAAGCGACGTGACGTGTTTCTTGGCCACCAAGGTTTTTAAGGATGAGACAACTGCACATGCCACGGGCACGACCATGCGATTTAAGATGGTCCCAACCTATGAACAGGGGTGCAAGTTGAAACGGCTTGTGCTTGGCATACACGGGGGGCAGAGGGAGTCCTGCATGTGTGTGTGTGTGTGTGGGATACACTGGGGTAGGGGGATTCCTGAGACGGGTGCAGTTTGTTTGAGGGACCAAAATCAATTTCGAAGGTCCAAGGGCAAACATGAGTCTCAAAGTACCTTGGACCAAGAAGTGCGCGGTGTCCCCTTCGCTTCCATTGATTTGCTTTATATAGAATTGGAATTTCCGATCTCCCCCGTTGGGCTTTTAGTTGGAATCTATCACTGCCTGGAGTCTCCATGACCCTACAAAATGGGTCCATGACCCCTTTATTTTGGGCAACGACCCCATTTTTCAGGGGTCATGGGGACTCCAGGTGGACATATTTCTCTTTATTTTGCTCAGCCGAGCAACCTGCACATGGATGGTGGAAGGCCGCCGAAGCGGCTGGTTTTCGGAGTTCCCAGAGTGGATGAGCCTTGTCGCGTTGGGCTCAGGACGGGCTACAAGGCGGCAAAGGTGCAGGGACTTCGCCTGGGAGCCTCAGGTTCTGCAGGGACCGGTGGTACTTGGAGCTCCGCCAGTGGAAAACGTCTGGGTGGACGCCACCAAAAACTAGCACTTACCTTTAAAAAACCGACTTTTCAACTTTTTGGGGGTAACATGGGCTATATGTCTGTAAAAGATTAACTTCCCCAGGGCTTGGAGTTTTAAGGGGTAAGAACAAGGTGGACGCAACTGAACGGGAGGCGTTTGCATGGGTTGTATCCTAGGTTGCCATTACAGCTTACTTGGCGAATCGAACAGCCCATAGTGCCAGACTTGACCTTTGAAACCCACAAGGGATTGCATCATGTCTGAGGTACACATGGGAGCCCCTTTGACAGCTGAAAAGAAAATGTTTGATTTGCTCTTGAACGACAACTAGTACTGTTCATTGCCAGACTTAACCTTTGTACAGTTGTTGCCAGGGTTCCACTTTTGGAGTAGACTTAAACCCGGAGGTTCATTTCCCAAAGGAGAACCCACTGGGGGGGGGGGTCGGCTCGAGCCGTCAGGTCAAGTAAATGCAAATACCTGGGCCCTCAAACTACCCATAAAGGGAATTCACTTCACAACTATGTGGCAATACCCCAATTTTTAAGGGGATTTTGCCCCTGTAATCAGGGTTGTGGGATCAAGGGGTTTATCCCCACTTCTGTGATACAAGCGAATCCCCGGATGAAATGGCGACTTTGTCTTGCATCACAGAATTGACCGCGCACCGACGTGTTGGTGGTTTTGTTGCTTTAGCACTTATATTCAGCATGGACAAGATCCCGCACGGTCGGGATGGATGAATCCCAATGACTGAGATGACACATCTACCAACTGCTGGATTCTGCCAATCAACAGTTGCGATACTTGTGGGGTCTCTGAATCCTGGGGTCATAGTAGGTGCAGAGGAGTTTTGTCTAAGGCGAATTAGTTCCCCAGCTTCCGGACATTACGATTGCCTGGGCTTGGTAGGGATTGTCATCAAGCTCTTGATGTGGGTTGTAGACAACCGCTCAATGTTTTCGAGCTTGCTGGCCGCGAGGAGATTTTTTCCTATTGGTGCCCCCATAGAGCGGATTCCAAATGCGGTGAAGGGTTCCTGCAGATTCGAACTTCGGCGAGAAAGCAACAGCCTCTGTCAACGGTCCCGGTCTCATGGACCCGAAATAGGAAGTCCCATCCTGAAAAATCAGTTGGACTCTACCATCTTAACAAAAGGGTTATTGTCCGGGTCAGTTCCAAATTCTCTCATGGGTAGTTTGAGGCTTCAGGTTATTGCAACCCAGCATTTTGGAATTGGTGAGTTCCAACTTTTTTTTTCATGGGTAGGTTGAGGGTGATTCAATTTTGGGAACCCCTAGATTCCACAACGGTTTGCCTTTGGCTTCCCCCCAACAAAAAGCAAACAAAAGGGGCTTCTCCAAAAAAAACATACACCAATATCATGCATCGTGCTACGCATGGGTTATGTGGTTTGGATTCACTCGTGGCAAAACCAGGATGCGCTGGCACATCCTGGATTGAAGGTTGAAGGTTCTCTGACAACTCTTTCTGGGATTCTTAAAATCTGTACCTAGCGCATTCTCAGACCACTTTTCTGGGGAAAAACACCAACCCCTACTTAGGGGAAACCAATATGCGCTAGCAAAAGCTTGCGCATCCTGGGGCACATGACAACTGCGCTAGATACTGAGAGAGCACTCTCAGCCGCTTGCCGCACGGATCCGTGGCTCAGTGGAGGGTTGCATAATATATATATATATATATATACAGGATGATATTAGAAGCGAATGGGTGCAGTTGCCTCGCGCAAAACAAGGCATGTGTATGGCCCATTTGGCGCAATACGGCATCTTGAGATCGCACAACTTGGAACCTACCAAACGCTTGTTTCCAGGCTTGATTCTTAAGCTAGTATACAGGTCTGGCTTAGTTTGTTGCAACGGTTAACGATTGGTTTGCTTGGGTTTACCCAAAAACGAGGAGTGTACACATTTGTGTTGGAACAACATTTTCCAATGCCGCCTTGCCCGAACATTTTGTGGCTCCTACAGCTTAGGAAGACCTTTGAATGTAAAGAAACACGTCGGCTTGCAACCTCAACTCCTTTTCCATGTAACGTGTTTTTCCACCAAAAGCTTAGCAGAACACCTAAACCCTGACAAATCCCTTTAAACTGAGTTTCCATTGTTCCTGGGTAGCTTGAGGGTCCAGGTGACACTACATGTCAGAAAAGTTGCAAATGATCGGCATTGGTTTCCTAGAAATCCCTTCGTTTAACGACTTGCAGCACGGCCAAAGTCGCGAACGCCATGCTGGACCTTCGCACGATTTCGGTGGGGTCATCCACGGACGACCACCTCTTCAAGGCGCGGAATGCCGCTGAGACCGGGCAAAGCCGGGTGGAACGCGCGGTCTTGGTGGTCCAATTTTTCACTGTTTGTTTGGGACCAAAAGCCAGCAGTCGACGATTTTCGAGTATCCCCACCCTTTCCCTTTCAAGCCAACTAGGTCCCCCAATATTGCCCTTTTACCATTTTTTTGGGGAGGGTTCCCCTGCTAGAATAGACTACAGAAAAAAACGGTACTCTCTCTACTGGAGGACCTAGCCAACCAAAAAATAGGATTTCCCGAACAAAACGACACACCCATATATGTTCTCCATAGGTTCTCCAAGCCCAGGTCGGTATTGAAGGGGTGCGCCTTCTTTGGACCTTTCGAACCATCAGCCTAGGGTTCAAAGGAGTTGATCTACCTGGAGCCTCTAAAATTCTACACGGAGTTACAGCGCAAAATTCTGGTTGGTGGATCCCATTTTTTTTATGGGTAGGTTGATGGTTCAGGTCAATGTTTGCAGACTTTGCTTTCGCTGCCGTCAGGCCCGCATTGATGAGGAAGCACAGCAGGAGGAGGCAGGATTGGACATGGGTGGTATCAGTTCGCCACGATTTCTCCATGGTCCATTTTTTCTGTTGGAGTCCCTTTCTAAAGTAAACCCACCCGCCTTTGCTGGACTGAGTGCCGTTGATGCGAATCAACTCCAAAGGCATACCTGGACTTTCAAAAACTGTCCCTTGAAAAAGGCGTTACTGCCCAAGTTATGGAGTGAATTCCTGGAGTCTCCATGACCCTTGAAAATGGGGTCACTACCCAAAATCTTTGGGTCATTGACCCATTTCAAAAGAGTCATACAGACTGCAGGTATTTTGAGGGTTCGGGTACATGAACGCTTCCCGACTTCGAGCCTTACAACCAGTTGTGGGAACCAGACGTTGGTTCTCACTTCTATAGATCCCATAAACGCCTTCAAGCACCCATCCATGGGGTGACCTGCCCCTTTTATGGGTGGTTTGAGGGTTCAGGTGTCCAATTGTTGCACATCCCCACACGAATAGTCTCGGCAAAAGCGCTGTTGCATGAATCAACTCGGCAAAAGCGCTTTTGGCTCCCAAATGCTCGAGGCCCAGTTGCAAACCCACCAAGTTCCCTCGATCGGCATTTCAAGTTTCTTCAACCGTGCTTTGTTCATTCTTCGGCACCATACATCTGCGGCTTCTGTCAATTTGTTGGGAGACCTCAAAGCAAGCAACTGGGCGGGAAAAAGCCGACTTTGATCACTTTTTGGGTTTGGACCATTTTGGTGGAAAACCACAAAGTGTGATATACATATTGCTGGCCCATCCACTCGATCGGTGGGATTTACAACTCACCACATTCCCAATCAGGGCACAAATCCCTCCCCAAAAAAATAAAAACACACGGCGTGACCACCAAGTTTCCCAAATAAGAAGAAGGTCCTTCCCGGGAAGATGTCGGTCCCCGCCGGCGCTCTTCGGAAACCGACCAAAAACTGAACAGCCGAATTCACCAGAACTCCCACCATCTTTTTCGCGCGACCAACCCGGCGCTCGTCAAAAATCCCGGCGAAGCGAACGCCTCGCCGAAGCGCCGCTCCGAAGCGAAGCGAAGCGAAGCTCCGAAGCTCCGAGGAGAAGCCGCGCTTCGTGAGGGAGGACCTGCTGGCGCCGGTACTGGGCTCCGCCGCGCCTCGGAGCGAGCCGGACGGACGGAGACGGAGGGAGACGGAAAAAAAATCGGAGGCGGAGGCGGTTGGGGTTGGGGGTGGATGGTTTTTGGTGCGAGTGAGCGCCTGAACCCTCAGAAATGAGCCAAGAAAATGAGTTTGCCCTGTTTTGGGCTAAGACAAACAAAGAACAAACAATGTTGAGGGGAACTTTGTAGTCCAGGCATTCGCCGATGCGGCGATTCGGTTCTGGAATTTTCCAGGGCGCGCGGCAGAAATCCCACTCCCAGGAAGCTATGCTAGGTACCTGAACCCGAAAGAACCTTGGTGGCTCCCAGCCATCCCCTTAGCTTGTTAGCTTTCTAGTGTTTAGTGGGGTTTTCCATTTAGCCCACAAGTTGTCCACTTTTAGCGGGCGATCTGAAAACGGATAGCTCAGGAACTTTTTAAACAGGGAATTGATTCACCCCATGATTGTGGGGCAAGAACGATTGCGGGGCACAACCCTTTTTTTAAGTTTTGTTTTTTTAGTGTACCCAGAGGGTCCTAAGTACCCCATAATTACGGCTTTGTTTTTGGTTCAAGGGGATTCGTCAATTACAGATTCTCCAAATCCTCAATTATGAGGTCCTTGGACCCTCTGCGGTACATGGCTGGTCTTTGCCGAATCGGAGAGACCCAGTTGGTTTCAGACATGGCTTTTCCAAAAAAGAAGCCTAGAGTGATCAACCTTTGCCTCAGTTTTTTGTTTTTAAACAAGCCAGTCGTTTGGGTAGCCCTGAGATTCAATCCACCATTAAAACAGTGGTTGGGTTCATATAATTCCACCATTGTAGGATTGTAATCGAATTTGGGTCAACCATTCTTTGAATTTGAACCCTAGGGTTAGGGTAGGGCAAGCCAGGGTAGGCCAAACCCCGGGGGTTCGAAGAGAAGTGTCTTAGGGTAAGACCCAGCCACCCCCAACAGGTTGGCACCTGACAGTCTGACAGCGGGCCGGAATGGCTTCGGGGCCGGAATGGCTTCGGGGCCGGAATGGCTTCGGGGCTGCGGGGGATGCACTTTGCAACCTTCGATGTTGGGCTTTGGTTTCTTTTTGGGGTGTAAAGTCATAGGTGGGCTACACCAGCCCTGAATGAGTGAAACTCAAGGCGCGGACCTCATCGTTTTTTTTTTTTTGTTTTTTTGTTTTATTGACGCCATCCAAAAGGAGCTCCATCCACGTGTATGCAGGTTTAGCCATTACGTGCAAGGTTCACAAATATCAACGATCCTTCATCCGGGGCAGGCAGTACATGGAGCTGCGTCTGGTGAAGCGGGTAGGCTATATTTGGGCGCTTGTTCCCCCCCTCTTCATGTTGTTTTGTCCCCGATGGAATTCTACTGGCTCTGAGGATAGACGACGCGACGTCAGGTTAGGTTCCCCTTGGATGGTTTGGTTTGGTGGTTTGGGGATTCGAACCCCTTGTCCTTATTGGACGGAAGATGGGAAACCACCTAATCTCCAAACCATCCAAACCACCAAACCAAGAGGGGAGCTTATTTTTGGTCGTCTCAGCATGGGCCCGTTTGATGCTTACTTGGGTCGTCTGCCAAGTTAGCAAGTTGTTGGTACCCTAGGTTATAGTGGACGTTCAGTGGAGTGAACCAGGTGGTGTTTTCCACTTGCAAACTTTGCGAATGGAACACTTGAGAAATCTACTCAAAGCTCCTAAATATATGGGCAAGTGCTCAACGTTGTGGTCGGTAGATTCCCTTTTTTGTGGGTAGTTTGAGCGTCCAAGGCCCTGCTTAGCAAGGTTGGCCTCAACGTGGGCAACAACTGTCGGGCCCGTTTGATGCTTATGGAAATCTGCTTAAAGCTTTGCCTGGATCCTCAAGTTTCCAGCTTAGAAACATATGTGGATTCCCGTTTTTTATGGGTAACATGGGTTGTTGCCCCAATATTCTGGCTGCTGGATTCCTTTTTTCCTTTCCGGGTAGTTAGAGGGTCCGGTCCGGGTGGTTTCCTCATCTAGGTGCCCCAGTAGTGCCCTTGTATATACCCTTTTTTGGGGCAGGGTTCCCCTACTAAAATAGACAGAAACAAGTTGGTACCCTTGTTCTAACCTCTCTACTGGAGGACCTAGACAAGAAGCCCATTGAACAAGGAGAATACGCCCCCCCCCCCCTTCTTCTTTGGGTTGCAATAATTCCCATTTTGGTGACTCCCCACATCCAATTGAAACAAGTACCTGGGCCCCACAAGGACCTACCTGGAGTCTCCTTCTGACCCTTTAAAATGGTTGGTCATTACCCCAATAAATAGGGGGTCCGCACCCACCATTTTAAGGGATCATGGAGACTCCCGGCAGGTCCTTGTGGCGTCCGGTGTTTGGCCGACGCCATCCCTTCGCGTTTCGCCAGTGGGTCGTTGGGTCGCTTCGAGGTGCTGCTGCCCTACGCCGTGAGCTTTGTGGGGGTCGTGGCGGCCGCCAACCCCGCGCTGCAGAGTCAGATCCCCACGCTGCTGGCGCCGCGTCCAGGGGGGTGAGCCCAGTCTAAGCAAATCGGATATTTCCTGTAGAAGTGCCTGTGGAAATACGATGGTTGAAAAGAATGGGGAAGCAACCCCTAGAAAAATGGTTGTTCCACGTTTGGACTAGGCCCAAGTAGACTTGCCAGGGTGGTTGATTTCCCCCAAACGGAAGCCTCTGGGCCCAGACGGGGGGGGTGTGTTCACTTTTACCCCGTTCCAAACAAAAAACCAAAGCCGTTTTGGGGGTCTTACCTAGAAGGCAAGAAGCCGATAGATCGCTACTTTTCGGGGCATCAACCGCGCGTTGATTTAAGTTGCTATGGTTTATAAGTCCCATATTATCAAGAGTTACCTCAATTGTAAACTTCATGTAAGGGACTTGCTAGTCAGGGATATTGATTCACTTGTAGTGGCCATCCAAGTAGAGTCCTCCCCCAAAGAAAACATGTTCGCCTTGTAACATAAGGCTTGTTTTGGCCTTAACAACAATACTGTGGATGGACAAAATCCTGCACCACTTTGAAACCATGGGAAACGATTTCTTGTTGGTATTTACAGGGGAACCGACTCATTCCAGGGTTTGTTAGGTGGTGCAGAATTTCGTCCATCCACAGTAGCTTCGCACAGGGAGCTGCAAGCCGTGGCCTCTGACCTGCCCCCGAGAATCGACGACTTCCGTTTCCGGCCGCTCTCCATTGCAGCCCCTTGCGTTCCGTACATGCCGTCCACCTGGACCCTCCAAAATTCCCACCTAAACAAAAAGGGGTTGCTGCGACCCAAAATGATGGTTAATCATTTCCAACTTGTTTTTTGGTTTATGTTTTTGAGCGCGAAGTTCCCTTTAAGCATGGGATACTGCACCAAAAATATGGTTTGTGAATTGTCCAACTTGTTTAATGGGTGGTTCTTTCCCCGAAAGTGTTGACGCACCCCGGAGTTGTTGACAATTCCTCAGTTGTTCTTGTGCTCGTTGCTTTGTGCTCGTTGCTTTGCGGCGCAGTCTTGTGGAAGAACTTGCCTTTCGTGTTGCTTCGATTGAAGCAAAGATCTCTTCCCTTGGCCGTTTTGGTTCTTGGCAACATTGACCACGTCTTGGATGCAACATGTCGAGGTTTGATGAAGCTCGCAAGAAAAAAAAAACGAGCCATTAGTTGAATTGGGTCTCCCTGGCTTGATCAGGTCCCGTGTTTCTATTTTTTTTGCCGAGGCTCACAATACAGACAAACAAGCTTATGAATGTGGGATCCCGAGCTTGAAGTTGATCTGACTTGGCTCTGTCTTGAGCATGTCATGCATTCTTACCTGGAGTCTCCGTGACCCTTTAAACATGGGTCCATGACCCCATTTTTCAGGGGTCATGGAGACTCCAGGGATCAACACCCCAGTGGTCATACACTTTCAGCCAACCAAATCGCATAGTGCGATAGTCTCGTTCTTCATTGCCTGAGGATTCTTAGCTTTATCAGGGTTGTGGTTGATCACTCGGGGAATTTCTCCAACCACTGTGATGCTTTTGGGATTCTCCCCCTGAAAAAATGGGGGGGGGGTGGTCTTTGGGAAGCCCTTTTGTTGCATCACAGATTCGTGGATTCCATTTCCCCACCACCCTGGTATATACTGACGCTTTGCCTGTTGAGATGTCCTTCACTTTCCCTCGCCGGCAAAGTTGTTTTTGTTTGAAGGGGATGTCTGCCCAACTTTGCGTTGTGAGCTGTGGAGAAGACCCAGATGTTGCCGGAGAAACTGTCCTTCACTGCTGTTGGGGCGATGTTTAAGTTTCTTGTCTTTTGGGCTCTAGTAGGCTGCAAACACCAGTTAGTTTTATGCTACCACACCAAGTGTTATAAAGTTTCAACCTATCGAAATCCATGCCAGAAATCCACCCCACCATCTGGGGGAATGCTGCTGGCCGTTGAACAGAATGATGCTTCGGCCTTTTTTTGTGGGCGAGCGGTGGTTCCACCGATTCGGGGTAAAACCGAGCTCACCAGGTACCTGGACCACAATTCCATTAAAAAACTGGGTGATGGTTGCCGACAATTATGGGGTGAATGCCTTTGTTGTTCGGTAGTTTGAGGGTTCAGGTGGCTAAAAGCGCGAGCCAGGAGCCATAAATCAATTGCAAGCTTCTTGGAATACGGGTGTAGCCACCAAACATATTGGCCTTCGAAGCCAGACAGGCCACATGGGTATGGATCAATATTATATAAAACCCCATAACAAATGCGGAAAAACAAACAAACAGTGGGAAACAAAAACCGCTGGTGTTGGTCCATGTTTCCATGTTTTCGAGGCTTCCATTTTCGGCGCATCGGTTTTTGACCATTTTTCCACATCTTCTCAGGGAGCCTAAAGGTTCGAACCCCTCTTCTTGCCCGAGGGGGCAAGGCAAGCTGACCTGGCACCATGGCACCCCCTTCGGTTGCTCAGTACCCGGACCCGAAACTACCCACAGAAGACTTCAGTGGGTTCACCCTCCTGGAAACTTTGGAGCAAAAGACGAAGTTTTGGTTGGATGTTCGAGGGTCTCGGTAGATTCCGCCCTTCTCGTTTGGGTGGACATATGAAAATCCACCCCGAGGGTTCCAAATCTTGTATATACCAGGCGATATCACCTTAAGGTTTACGGGGGTGAATACGGGTCTTGAAGGTTGGGGCCAGGGCCAGATTAGGCTCCTGGACCCTCATTCCAGTTAACATAGGTTATTGCAACCCAACAAAATGGGCGATTGCCCAAATCACCTGGAGTCTCCATGAACCTTAAAAAATGGTTGGTCATTGCCCAAAATAAAGGGGTGATGGACCCATGGAGACCCAACAATTTATGGAATTAGTGACTTCAACTTTTTTTTATCGGTAGTTTGAGGCTTTGGCTTTACTCGGTGAGGGGGGGTGTCTTCCTCCTTTTTTCTTCACATCTCATGGGACCCCAACCCTGTTTGGGGCGCTACCAGCCAGGATCTCACCTTGATTTAGAAATCCGTCCCCAAGGAAAAAGGTTTACCTGGCCCCTCAAACTACCCACAAAAGCGGGAAGCCACCCAGAATGTTAGGAGAATAACCCATGTTTAAGGGACTTTTGAGGGTTTAGGCTTCTTGATTGAAACACGCCACCAGAGCTCTTCCGGGCCACTTCCGTGTCCAAACAAGAAGCGCCGCGGCCTCTGCTTCGCTCCCAGCCACCTGCTCCAACGTGGACCTCATCCACGCGGCATATCTGGCGGCGATGGGCAAAGCCTTGACCTTGCAGGGCGTCGAAGGCACTTTCATCGCCGAGTCGAAGACATCGGCAGAAACTCGCACGACCTGAGGCCACACCCGACTAGATTGCCAGCCCCGATGAATATATATATATATATACATAGGAGCGTCTCAAATTTAACATAGGGGACACCTTCTTGCGCGAAGAACGCGGAACTTCACCCGATGTTGGGGCAATATCCCATGTTGAAGTTGGAAAAAGAGGTTGGGCCCGGCTTCGGGGGGGAAAAAAAAAAAAACACATCGCTCCGATTTCCCCCAGAAGAACTCCACTCCGCGTTTTTTTCTCGGAGCGAGCCGTCTGGCCGTCTGAGCGGTCTGCGCCATTTGACGGGTCCAGGGGCGCAGCTCGAAACCCGATGCGCCTAATTGGACGGATTTGTCTACTCCTAAAAGCCTCAAGGGTACTCCAAGACATGTGAGACATGCTTAGATGCAGGGGTGTGTCTGCTTGATGGTACCTGGGCCCAACCAAAATTCCGATTTTGAAGCCTTGGGTTATTGACCCCAAAAATTGTGGGGGTTGATTGTTTTTTGCCGGGTAGTTTGCGGGTTCAGGTACTGTTTGCATGAAGGATCTGGCATTTTTTCCCATAGAACCACAAGTCAGCGGATTTTGGTGGCTGCTCAAATGCTGTGTTTGTTCTCGCCAAGTAAACCCAGAGGGGGCCAAGATTACCCGGGGGGGGGGTGTATTATTGAGGGGGGGGTACCTTGAAGGGGGGGGTACCGTTTACGAGCTTGTCAAACCTTGCTTTTTGGTTGAAACAAATGCAATGATGAATCATTGACTTTGCTGTTTGCGGCTGGCTTTTTGGATTTCTGGAATGGCAACCCTTGAAGCCATGAAATGAGTTAGTGTTGGCAAACGTGTTGGCAATATCTGTGGTAATCTAAAATTACGTGTTTGCGTTTTCTTGGATTTCGAGCAGAAAAGGGACGTCTTCAAGGGGTAGGTTTTGTGGCTACCAAGAATAAGTTTCTTTTTGTTCAGCTAAACCTTGTGGATCCCTGCAATGTAGTATTGGCTGGCAGTGAGCTCGGAAAACGGCGTTTGTAATCATAGGGGGGGTTGTAAATCATGCTTAAAGATTAAGGCAGACAAAATATGATCAGCAAATATTCTATTTGGTGCATTTCACTTGGTTGTCAGGGTTTTCCCTTAAACACTAAAAGCTAAACTTTTAGCAGCGGAGCCGAAAGCAACCGAGAATTATTCTGATGGTGTACCCGCCAAATAAAGGGTGCTAAATGGCCTCGGGGGCTCGGGTTTTCACGATCTTCGATTTCCCTGCGGAAATCGAAGTCAGTGGAGTGGTTGGGGAACCCGTTTGCTGTGGTTCCAAAAGAAACCAAAAAGACCACCACGCACATGGGGTTCCAACACAAAAGATAGCCAGCCCACTAGCCTGGTTGAACCTGAAGACCTCAACAGGCTCAAGCTGAGTTCAGAATCCATGCTCAATCCTGGAGAATACCTGGAGCCTCCTCTTGACCCGAAATAAACCTGGGGTCATCTACCCGAACTACGGGCAGACCTGTCTTTGTCAAGGGTCATGGAGACCTCACTTCCTGAGTTCATGAACTTTAAACTTTTTGGGAAGACCATTTTGGTGGTAAACAGAAAGTTTGAACTTTTTTGGCCCATCAACTCAGGAAGTGAGGTGGTTGCTCTTTGTCTTGATGGTTGTGGAAGCTTGGCTTTTAGGGCCACTCCCCTAAACCTCACCCCCTGAGCTCCTGGACTTCCGGCTTGTTGGGACTGGACCATTTTAGTGGCAAACAAAAAGTGTAAACTGCTTTCCTGGTGGTTTTTTTGAATGGTGGTCTTCTTCGTGAAGTTAGGTTTCTATACTTAGACGATCCCAGAGTTAGCTGAGTGATTGATAAGCCCCACTGCACCTCCATGCAATTGTAGCTAGGTTTACTTCCCATTCAGCGAAGCGAAAGCCCATTAAATATAAGCTGCAAAAAAAAGGAAAACAAAGCATGAACCATGACTCTTTGTTTCCAAGTGCACAGCCTCCATGTAGTAGTTACCCTCCTGTCCACGTTGCAATGGAAACCAAAGAAATGGTCCATGTACTCAGTGTTCAAAGTTGACCTTTTGACCTTTCGGTTTGCTTTTTTCGACCTGCTTTTAGCTGTGTCCGAATAGGGGCAACTGGGTTTAGGGGAATGATCCAGCCCCCCAATCAGGTTCGGAATTTCGGCACTTCTCCCCAACCTCCAGCCGTCCTTTAGCTTCCCTGTCTTCTTGGGGGGCTTTTCTGAGAGCAAGACAAATGTCAACATTTCCTTAAACGTGGGCTATTACCCTAACATTATGGGCTGAACTCATTTTTTGTGTGTGTCGTTTGAGGGTTCAGGCCCTTTTGTCTCCAAAAGTCCAAAACTGGGTTGGGCTCTCCTGCTTAGTGCCCTGGGCCCTATATATTGCACTTGGCCAGGGTTGTGATTGCATGTGGTTGATTCGCCAGCGTAATGCTTTGGGTATGTGTCAAAGGTCAAACGCTCATTGTATAGGTCCACATATGAGTCCATGGCCATGTTGGACCCTTTGGGGGGTCTGATTTCCAATAGGCAAGCCATAACTCGCGGGTAATTAACCCATAATTAAGAGGGGGTTGAAATATGGACCGATACTTTCAGCCTTTGAACAGGGCAAAACGCATACACCTGGACCCTCGAACTACCCATCAAAAAAGGGATTTCACCCCATGATTCTGGGTTGCAACAACCTATTTTCAAGTTGGATAAGTTGGAATGTTGAATATCCAGGGTACCTACCTTAAGTCGGATGCGTCCCACTTAGGGAACAAACTGACTGGATTTTGGGGTAACAACCCATGTTTGAGGTTGTACTTTTGAGGGTCCGGGCACCTGTTTTGTTGTTTCAGGCCCCGAGCTGCTCTTGCACATCTTGGTGGCGCAAGGGATGCTGTGCGTCATGGTTGGCTTCTTGTGAGAAAGAAACAAGGGCAAATCCGGAAGCACTGGGACTGGATGATTTGGATGTTCGATCGGCCAACTTAGCAAGTGGAGTGACCATGGCGTTTGAAAAATGGGGTCATTACCCAAAATCTCTTTCGGGGGTAATGGACCTCTCTTTCAGGGGGGTTAGTGGAAAACGCCACCTGGGTTACAACCCATTAAGGTGAACTGAACGGGGGGCTCAGTGGGTTATAGCCGAAGGGCTGCCAACAACTCCGTGCCGCGAACCGAGCATAAAGTGCGCCTTTGTATTGAACTTGTATTCTGGTTCAGCGCCTTTTCGGGGCCAAAACACAGGGCAGACACTGGCGAAGGTTCCATGGCTTCCCGAAAAGCTCCACCTCTGAATCAGTGGAAAGCACCCACTCAACACCTAAGAAACCCAACGGCATGCTCCGATTCACTTGTAAAGAAGATGGGTTCAGGCATGATTTCATTTGGTGGAATTTGATTTCGCAACCATCCACACCCCAAAGCCGAACGGATATGGGGTCAGTTTCCAACACTAGAAACCCCGAAGGATGTTGGGGGTTCGGCTTTGCGGACCTCGGTTTGAAGCCTAAACATGTGAGCCATCAAAGTACCCATAGAGAAGTTGGCATTCACCAATTCCCATACTTTTTGGGTGGCTATAACCACATGGCCAGCGACCCGTCGAAGCCGAAAACCACATGGCCAGGGGGTTACGAAGCTTCTTCTCAAAAACGACCATACCTGGAGTCTCCATGACCCTTAAAAAATGGGTCCATCACCCCATTGTTTTCGGTAATGACCAACCAAACCAAGCATGTTTTAAGGGTCAGAAGGGGACTCCAGGTACTTTGGGCCATAGCCCATTAGGAAACGCTTGAGGGGGGTTATGCCAAAGCTCGAGGCCTCAATGCGGGTCTTTGTGCCGATCTGTCACCCGATTTTGAGACCACCCCCAACCAGGACCTGAACGCAACTATAGGAGGTGATGTTTCTTTTCCTTCCCCAACTTGATGAGTCCCCCTGAGTGGGAATCTCCCTGGTTCTCATTCCTTGACGTTGTTTGGGGTCGGAAACCACCCCGTATCAGCTTGGTGGCTCCCAGCCATCCCCTTAGCTATTTAGCCTTTTATTAGTGTTTGGTGGGGTTTCCATTTAGCCCGCTAGAAGTTAAACTTTTAGCGGGGGATCTGAGGACTTCTCAGTCAAGTTCCACTGATGAATGCGTATACGACCCTTGTGAAACTTGCACTTGTTCAACATGTTGTTGGAAAAAGTGTAAACACCATACCACATTTTTTCAGTCAACGGCGTATGACTAAAGAAATGGCCAACAATGGGTCCCAGTTAGACAGACAGTTCAAACTTAGGACCAACAACAGTGTTGGCACGCATGAGCGCGCATGAGCGCATGGAATCCCAAAAGTTGGCACGCATGAGCGCGCTCGCAACGGCTGTATGCAGCCCTGGTAAAAATGAGATCACATGTTCTGCAAAGCATGCCGCGACTGGCGCGCCAGAGAGCCTCAGTGTGATGCGCCACTCAAGTTGGTAAGCGCGTGCGTGTGGCCGCAATTCGGCGCTTCGTTCCAAGAAGGGTCTGACGAGGCCATGCGTCAGTTCATTGGTTGCAAGTCGATAATGAGGCAAGCCAAGCGAAACCATCGTAAGATTGCAACCAGACTTATCCGAGCCGGCTCCCCGCCGGCTTTGTTGGAGGAATGCCGTTTGGAGTTTTGAGCGCCCCATCTCAGCTCAGCAGAAGAAAAGCTGGGTCGTCGAAAAAGGAGTACAATGCTCCGGCTCAAGTCGGGCGCATGTTCGCAGACAAAGCTCAGCGTGTTTCCCAGTTTGAGCATCTCGTCGCTGAATCCGTAGCTCACTTCGTCTGCGTGAGATCTTGACATTACACACGAAAAGTCACGCACGAGGATCACGCCTTGAAACGTTCTGCCTCCTTACTTCTTCGTCCAATATAGCAAAGCCTGCCTCACTGAGAACCCCTTCTAAGAAGGGGGGCGGGGACTAAGAACCACTTAGTACCCAAACAGGGTTCTGAGACGCACCTGGGAAGGGGGCGGGTCTGCGGGGGCGGGCCCGTTTCTGCCTTAAACACAAATCATACGCCCACCTGAACCCATTCCCTTGTCACTCACATGTTTTGGGGCAATAACCCATATTTACGTATTTAAGAGAACTTTGAGGGTCCAGGTAGAGTGAAGACACTAGGGTTACCTACCCTAGTGCTAACTGAAAGCACTCGGATATGCTTGGCTTCCGCCTTTCTTTTGGAGCGGAGGCTTTTTGCTGGTCTTGGTCGCAGAGTTGGACGGACTGTACTACATGCGCTTCATGCCGTACCAGGCACAAAATCGGGGGTGCATGAAAAAGCATGTGCTTGGTCCATGTGGGGTTGTCTGTTTTTGAGGGTACCCCTTGTTTCATGGGTTTAAAGGGAAACCTAAAAGGCCAACTCGAAATTGGGGGGTGCCCCAAACAAAAAAACACACCCAATTTGAGCAAGACATCCTCCAAGGTACCGTGTTTTTTCGCTCCCAGCTCCAAGCTCCCAGCCCAGAAGTCTGTCCAAGCCTGGGTACTGTGGATGGTCGCGAAATTCATTTCGCACCGAAGTAACATTGGAATGATGATTCTCCGGTAAATGCCAACAACGGTTTCCCACAGGAGCTTGAAACCGTTTGAAGCCTGGTTCGGCTTGGCCAAGAAAAGTCCTGAAGACCCGACTGTAAGGTCGCTTGGGGTCAACGGGTTTCCCGGGATTTTAACCAAAATTCCAACTTGGGCTTGGGTTACCTTCAACATTCTGGACGTGAATTCCAACTTGTTGAGTTTGTGAGGCTTCCGGCTCACAAGGCCCAGGGCCTCTCCAGTAAGCAAAGCATGCATGTTGAACTCTCAAACTTCCCAAAGGTGGAAATTCGCCGATTCCCATCATTTTGGGTGGCATGTGTTCCCATTTATCAAGTTGGTATCTGTTTTGCTTGGGTCCAGGCAGCCATAAATAAAACGCGCTCCAGCCGTCAAAACGCGCGTCTCCAGCCGCGCTCCAGCCTTCGAGCGCTCCTGTCAGCGCGTACATCCATTTGCTTAAGAGCATATAGTTTATTTTCCCTTGCTGGTTTTAAAGGGAATCTATCACTACTGGATTTCCTTATTTCGTTTTTATATTTTCCGCTTAAGTAAATGGATGTAGGTCCCACTTGAGAACGAAGAAGACAAATGGAAGCGTAGGTGGGGGCGGGCTTCGTGAGCGGCATCGGCATCCTGATCTTCGACGGTGGCCTGGAGCTGGGCTGCGGCCAAGGGCTCCAGAGCTTGGCGCCTCGGAAGGTTGCGAAACTCGGGGCCATGGGGTGGCTCGTCTTTTTCCGTTTCCGGCTGCGCGCCCAAAATAAGTCAGGACGGGTTTCCTATGTTTTCCTGTCGGTGTCCAGTGGTGTTTTTTGTGTTTGTATTTTTACTTTTTGTAAGGTTGTCCTGTTGGTTTCCCTTGTGGAGCCAAAAGCGGGTTTTCCATCACTTTTCCTACCCCGGGTGCCATAAAAATGGAATTGGGGAAGGGGGAATTCGACCTCTACTGTACTAATTTCACTTGCGGCAATTAAGTGATTTTCTCTATGGGGAAAACTAGAGACATGGTTGATTGGGGCCCGGACCCCCCACCCCCCTCCCCCGAAAGAGGTAGGCGGGATGGCGCTTCGGTTTTTCGTTAACACCGATGGGTTGCACGTCTAAAAGGCCGAGAAAAGACAAACCAAACAAGTTGGCCAATGTGTTTTCAGGGGTACGGTTGATGAATCCGTATCCATTTTCTGGGGTCGGAGAGATCTTGCTGTTTTTAGATTAGACATATGAAACTAAAATCAAACAATATATAATTTCTGCTACCTCTGGGGGGCTTGCTATTTTTCAAAGGGTAGCTTCCCCATTATTTGAAGGGATCCTTCTTTCCAGAAAACCACCAAAATCCCAGGGAAAACGGGAGGTTATTGAAAAGAACGATGATTGAAAAAACAGGGAATCAACCCCTGGATGTTTTGGTGCCCCTGTGAGCTTGTTTTTTTTTTCCATGTCCCGTGTCCCAAAAGTCTCCGTGGTTGCGACCAAAAGGCGGCTGGAGCTCGGGACCCGACTCGGTCGATCTTTGTCGTCCTGAAGTCCAGGTGCCCGACTTCTTTCACGCCGTGCTCAACGCGGAGGTGAGCAGCGCTGGAGAGGCCAGATATTTTTGTTGTTGTTGCTTTTGTTTTTTTTGCTTTTTTTCCGACCGAGTCGGAGCGATCCGAGGCCTGGTGTACCTGGAGTCTCCATGACCCTTTAAACATGGGGTCATGACCCCTTTATTTCGTATGACTTTTCTGAGCATCAAACAGGCCCTCAAACCCACTTTGGAGGGCCAAACGCTGTTGTTGGTCCCTTTACCCCTTTATTGGAGTCCAATGATGCTTGTGGTGTCCAATTTTAACCATGGTTGTAACCTACTTGCCTGACGTTGGTTGAACATCCAAGTAACAGCAGAAGCTCAGCTTTGCTCTATAGCGATTTGTGGTTTGGAGCCTGGTGGTTTAGCGGTGTTCCGAAATACGTTCCCATTTACCTCTACAAGAACCAGGGGTTCAAACCCACTGCCCCAGATAGAACCATGGTTGTAACCTGCGTAACTTGGTTGACCCAAGTAAGACAAGGTACATCCCAACTTTGTTGGATAGGTCATATCCCACGCATACCCCCCCCCCCCCTAAGTGGGTATAAATTCCTAACCTCACCATGGTTGTAGCCTACTTCAGCGGGCTGAACATGCAAGTACGCATCTGTTTTTCTCACCTTCCAGTTGGTTAAGAATGTGTTTCCCCGGTTGGTTTCAAAGGGAATCGATTTCACTACTGGACTTATATGTTTCTTTTTGCAGGGGACGAAACGAAGAAATTAAATGGAGGTCACCCTAACCGGCAGCACGGCTCACGATTTGCCTCACGAGTTGATTCCTCGAGGCCTTGGTGGTGCAGCTGGTCTTGACGCTCGCCTCTGCGGTGGTCTTCCTGCTGCTCAGAGAGGCGCCGATTCTCCTTCGCGCCCGCGCCATCCGCGCGCGCGGCCTTAAAAAGGGCATTGGGGTAGGGGGAGTTCGATTTTCTGGAGTTTTTTTTTGGTGGTTCCATTTTTTCCTTTATGGGGAAGACTAGATGCATGGAATTGGGGACCCCCCCACCCCCCTCCTCCTGAAGGTAGGGCCTGGGCGCGGCGTTCATTGGCCATCTTAGGCCGTTTTGGGCATCGAGGGCGTAGCAGACCCAAGCAAACGGTTCTGGCTCATGACTAGGTCCCCAGCAGTGCCCTTCGACCAACTTTTTTGGGGGAGGGTTCCCCTACTAAAATAGACTACAGAAAAGTGTACCCTTATTCTAACCTCTCTACTGGAGGCCCTAGATGACCGCTTAAGGGGGACGACCCAAATATGGGCTGGCCCCATTTGAAGGTCCTGGAGACTCGCTTTGGCTCTTGAACACTGGCTACCCGGTACTTGGTGCTTTGAATTGATGCTGGGCTTGGAACCTCTTTGTAGAGGGGTGGGAATCCCCTAGCTCCGCCAACTGCCTCAACCCTCGACTCAAGCTACCCATTACATCAGGCATTCACCAACCATCCTTTTGGGGCAACAACCCTGTTGAATTGAATTCTGAGGGTCCAGGTACCGGTCGACGTCATAGCTACCTGAACCCATAAAAAGGGAATGTACCAAGGTACCAAAATATTGGGCTGCAATTTGCTTCACTTGAAAGTGGGAAGTTTTCATACCACCAACTGGAGGGAAGCTTTTGTCTATGGTTTTAAAGGGACATCAATCCGTACTGGAACATGTTCTTTCATATTTTCTCATTTGTTCCAAAAAAAGCAAATGGTGCGCTGCGTGTCAGGTGCTGCATTCCTTCTCCTGGGGTAATGCGGTGCGCCTCCCTTTGGGCTTGGCACTGATCAGCGGAGGGGTCTACTCCTTCCTCTGGTTGCACCCGCTGAGTCACCAGGAGGCGCCTTGGCGATTTTGTTTGGAGCGAAGTGAGTCAGCGAGCGACCCGTCGAAGCCGAAAACCACATGGCCAGGGGGTTACGAAGCTTCTTTTCAAAAACGACCCTTTATTTTGGGTAATGACCCCATTTTTAGAGGATCATGGAGACTCCAGGTAGTTAGAAAAGCTACATTCTTTCTATTTTCGGGATGGTGATGGGCATGACTCACACGTGACAGCGTGTCAGTGACATGCAGTAGCAAACAAGTTCTACATAGTGACACGTATGGACTTGCGTGTCACTGGTTGTCACTGCGTGTTTGCGTGTCACCTGCGTGTCAGTATGCGTGTCAGTATGCGTGTCAGTATGCGTGTCAGTATGCGTGTCAGTATGCGTGTCAGTATGTGTGTCAGTATGTGTGTCAGTATGTCAGAACAACAGTTGACCGCTGCAAGCAAGAGTAGTTCTACCGTGTCACTGTGTGTCACCCGCGCGTCACCTGCGTATCACCGCTTGTCACCTGCGTGTTGGGGATTGGGAATATTTAAGCTTGTTTTTCTGTTTGGCAAACAACCGTAGATCGTGGATCTACAGTCTTTTGTTTTATTTGCGGAACTACTGCCAAATAGACGGCAGTCACAAAAATAAAACGATGGTAGTAGTCGGAGGGTGCTGGTCATGACTTTTTGTTTTAAAATAGATGGACGAAGTCCAATTCGCACCACAAAATGAAACCATTGTCGAAAGCAATTGTTTCTTGGTATTTGCAGGGAGAATCATATCATTCCAGGGTTTTGGTATTTGCAAACTGGATTCGTCCATCCACAGTAGATCAGCTTCCCTCTGATTGATGGTTTGGAGTTTGGTGGTTGAGGGGTGGTTTCCCATGTACCCTCCACAACCAGGCGTTCAAATCCCCAACCACCAATCCAAACCACAAATTCAATCCAATTCAGGGATAATTACCCTAGGTCCCCCAGTAGTGCCCTTTTGACCCTTTGTTTTGGGGAGGGTTCCCCCAGTAAAAGAGACTACAGCCAAAAAAGGGTGCCCCTATTCCAACCTCTCTACTGGAGGACCTAGTACCTGAGTAGAGGCTGGCTGCTGCTCAGGTGGAGTTCTGGGGTATCTTCCTCTCCGGGCTGGTGCCGGACTCCTGGACGCTGGAGTGGCGCGTGCTGGCGCACCTCCATCACGCCACTTCCATCAAGTTACCCGATGACCTGGGACCCAAGGGCCCTGGATGCTTCCATTGGCTTAAGATATATATATATATATTTTTTTTTTTCCCCACGTTGGTTTCAAAGGGAATCAGGGGGGCTTAAGCAAATGGCAGGATGGAACCTCCGAAAGCGCCCCAAGAAGTCACCCCAGAGCCTGGAGACTCTCTGTGGGCGACACCTTAAAGATGGCAGCTGTTGGGGAGAATGCTAGGTCCCCGAGTAGTGCCCTTTTACCCTTTTTTGGGGGAGGGTTCCCCTGCTAAAATAGACTGCAGAAAAAAGGGTAAGGACCCGCGACTCGAGATGACAACACTTCAGATGACTGACACTGCTTAAGATGACCCCACTCAAGTATATAGATGACCACACCAAGTGGACACATGACCCCGCCACTTATCAAGATGGCCGCACCACGTAAGCGGTTAAGATCCTTAGATAAGTTTTCCGAGTGGGTAGGTAGGGTCAATTCTGCTCTCGGAACTACAAACCTGTCCGACAGTTCAGTCCTTTTGCCTGGCTCCACGGCTTAACCCGGATCACCCTGAACGTCGTCGTTGTGTTTTTCTTCCCCGTTTTTGTTCCTTCCCCAGTCCGATGGGGCCGAACATCAGGTTTTCTCTCCCGATTACGACACGCGCCGGTCGTTGGGATCCATCCAGGCCAAGTATCAGGGACCTTTCAGATAGCAAGGCTCTCCTAACCCCCCACCCCCCACAGGCCCAAGGCCCCAAACAGCATTCAGGGGCATAAGCTGCATGACTCTTAGAAGCTCGGTGCCTGAAACAAAGCCTCGTTGCCTCAACGCTTGAAGAGCATCTTATCTGACTGTGACCTGACTGATCGATTTGCGCCCGAAGCCACCCGGGGCCTTCCGTGGGCCAATTTGACGTTGAGGTTTCCCCTTGTTGGTCCTTCTTTGAGGCCCCTTGACTGGTCTCAGATGCCACCCAGAATGAACTGGTCCAAGGCCGACCTGTTTGACCTTTTGGTTTCCGCTTGGTCCGTGTTTGATCACGGCCTCAAAAAGGTGAACTTGTTACTTCCAGGACCTTTGGGCAAGTGAGACCAGGGTCCAATTTGATAGTTACTCTTGGTTTCTGAAGACGGCGGCCTGCTTTCTCAGTGTCCTGCAAGATCAAGGAAATGGTTTGCTTGGCTTATGGGATGTGTACTCTTAAGGTCCCCACGAAATAATAGCTTCCTGGACCTCAAAATTCCAGCTTACAACTTGGCTATTACCCCATGGTGAATCCCCTGTTTTGATGGGTAGTTTGAGGCTCCAGGTATACTTTTAAGGGTCCACCCCCAAACATAGCTCGCATTTGGAGGAGACCGTTGGGCAAGTGAGGTTAAGCTGGGCGCTATCTTCAGTCAACCGCGACTTGACTGAAGAAGTTCGCCTGGATTCCAGGCTGCATCGGTGCGCCGATTTCGCTGGCGATTTGGAGCCTTTAGACTTCTTGGGGTTGGTCAATTGTAGTGGCATTCAAAGAGTTCGGTTAATTTTAGTGGCATACAAAAAGGTTTGGATACTTTTGGTCGCCCCTCCACTCGATCTGAAGCGATATTGTTTATTGGAGTTCCCCCCCCCCAAAAAAAAACAAAAAAAACAATGAGTGCCGAATCTGCTCGCCCCTGGCCCAGGATCTAGCAGTTTGAACTCGAAGCTAGGAGCAGTTAGTCTTGAAGCCTCAAGCTACCTAGGTAGCTACCCAGAAACGAAATGTCAGCTTTTGGGGCAATCACCCAATTTGAAGTTGGATGTTTGAGGGTTTTGGGGCAATCGCCGAATTTTAAGTTGGGAACTTTAAGGGTCCACGTATCAAGACGCCGCGCATGCGCATGCGGCAACACATGTTGGAGGTCACTGTGTTCGGGAGGGCTGATTCACAGTTGGCGGCCCCTCACAAGAGGTCAGTGGATTCCTGCATGTCCGATTTAGAACTCACATCCAAAGGATCTTATTTCAGTCCCGAGCATGTTTTCAAGGCAACATGAGGAGGTTCCCGTTTTTGTTCCAACATGTCCATCTGTGTTTCGGAAAATCGTTGTGTTGAGTGCGTTCGTTCCAGTTTTTCCACTGTTGGTGTGTGTGTGTGTGTGTGAGTTGCGCTTTTGCAGCTTCGGTCTGGTTCATACATGTCGCAGGGTGTATTGAGTGAGTTCGTTCCCAACCTCCAATCCACAGCCTGTTGCATGAGTTCCAAGCCCAAAGTCCGCAAGCGCCTGGATGGATGGAATTCGGGGGTCTGAGGGCCCTGAGGGCCCTGAGGGCCCTGAGGTCCTTGAGTGACAGTGGAAGGAGGATTACACCAGTTCGCAGCTAGGAAGGTCTGGGATATGATAATAGGTTCCCCTGTCAATACCACTTGTGGTTTCAAGCGCTTCATTTCGTGGTGCGCTGAAGGGATTTCGCAACCATCCACACCACATCCCACCATGATGTCCACAGAGTTCACAGGGGGGCAGGGGGCCTTTTCGGAGGTAGCCAAGCTGGCCCTTCAGAGGCTAAACGAGAGCGGCGAAGGGTTGCCTATGGCCTGCAACTGGGAGCTGGGAAGATCTTCCTTTGAGCAATACTTGGAACCAATCTCGATGTTGCTTGTTTTGTTTGGCGACTTCGTGTGTTTCCTTTGGGGCAGGTTTTCCGCACCTGGGATTCATCATCTCCTGAGCTTAAAATCCAGTCTAGTTGGGAGATGACGCTACTCGCTTCTCGAACTCTTTATGCACTCTTGCGGCCATCACTCAGACAGCTTTTTCCTTGGGACAAAGTCTGCCTGGTGAAACTGTTGCGGTTTGGTTGTGTCATTTCCGTCCGTGGATTTAGTCTGCTTCTGCCGCAAAAGTGTCCGAGCTCTTGTGTGACTCGATCGAGGCAGACTCCGCAGCCTGCATGAAAAACAACCCTGCCACGCAATGTCAAACTCTTCTAATTATTCCACCTGGACCCTCACAATTCCCTTAAGCATGGGCTACTACTCCCAGAATTATGGTTGGTGAATTCCATTTTTTGTGGGTAGTTCTTGCGGGTTCAGGAAGAGGACGGCAGTTTGCGATAGATAAATAGATGGACAAATTGACAGATAGATGGGTAGATAGATAGACAAGTACATAGATAGAAGATAGACAGAAAGATAGATAGCTAGTTAGAGGGATCGAAAGAACGACCAACATACAAGAAATAAACCAAAAAGGAATGAATAAGGGAAAATTGAATAAACAAAAGAAACGAAGACAGAGGGAAAGAAATAAAGATGGAACGAAAAGGAACAACAAACAGAAGGAAGAGCAAGCAAGGAAGAACAAAGTCAAGAACATAAAGAGAAGATAACTACAGCTTTTGTTTGAAACTTCCGCGCACTGGCTTCGTCGGCTCTACTGGTAGGAGTTCTAACTATTGTTATATGTCAAGGAGCTCTCGCAACCATGGTTCATGACCGGCCTGAGTAGTTGGGTTCATCCAAGTTGGCCCAACCTCACAACTTCCCCCAGGTGAGCCACACTTGTAGTCGAAGGTTGGTAAGGGACAGCGCCGCGTTGGCAACTCTTTACATGTTTTTGGGTTCACCGTTTTTTTACTAATACCAGGCTTAGATTCTGACTCAGGTGTGTCTCCTTGACGGTGTCCTACGCGGCTTTGTCCACCTTGGCCTTTACCTTCTTCACCTCGGGCATGAGGGACACTCGGACCACATCCGAAGAGACTGGGGGGTGGGAAGGCGAGCGCTAGAAGCAGGAGTTGTGCTTCGCAACTGGTGCTGGGTCTCCGGAAATGATGTTTTATTTTCCAGGGTACCTAAAACCTGAAGCCACCCATCAAAAGTTCCAATCCCAGAATTGTGGCTCGCAAAACATCGAACTTTTTGGTTCCAATACCCCTAAACTAACAGGGGCCCAGCAAAAGCAGGGAGAAATCATGTCGTGACTTGATATGGTCCGCATATGATCGGTTGTTGCACCATCCATTCCCAAACGAGTAAATCTCTCCTTGGTGGCTCCCAGCCATCCCCTCCTTAGCCTTTTAGCTTTTTAGTGTTTAGTGGGGATTTCCATTTATATAGCAAACGAAAAGTTAAACTTTCAGCGGGGGATCTGAAAACGGACACGTCGTTCCCAGCGCATGGTCAACACGACTCCTGATTTCATGCCTCTCACTGAGGATATGGACAAAGATTCCGCCAAAGCGGACCTGACCAAGGAAATTCGCATCATGGCGGAGATTCGAAGTTTTCGGCGCGGACTCGTGGAGTTGCACCCACCAATTTTGCAGGTGTTTCAGCACCAGAGATGCAATTCACGTACCTGAACCCCCAAACTACCCATTGAAAAGAAGTGAATGAACCCCACAGTTTTGGGGCAACAACCCATGGTTTGCATTTTGAGGGTAAAGATCTACGTGGCCGGGCACTGGGTTTTTGGTTGCCATGTTCTAAGGGACCAACTATAGGGAGATGGACATCACGGCTGGGATCGCAAGGGCTTCCCCACAACCAGAATCTAGAGGTTCCCAGCCATATCTTTAAACGTTTAAACGTTTACCTGGACCCTCACGATTCCCTTAAACGTGGGCTATCAAACAAATGTGGGGTAAAATCCATTCTTTATGGGTAGTTCGAGGGTTCAAGCAGACTTCTGGGCATGTATGACACCTCACTAAAGGATTAGCTGTCCGAAAGTGATCAATGAATCACTATACTGTTTTTAGCCTTGTTTTCCTATGGTATAGCTGCGTCTGACTGCCTTTTGTGGTTCTCTCTATATGGTTTCTTCCCCTGACCCGCAGCTACTGAGACATCAAGCGCCGTTCGAGCCACGACCTTTCATGGAGTCTTAAAAACTTAAAAACATGGGGTCATGACCCCTTTCAAAACATCAGATAAATGATCCCGTGGTACGGGTCAGAATGAAACTCCACACTGATTGTGTTTCCTCCTTTTGGGTGGGTTTTTTTCAGGGTACCCTTCTTTGAATGTAAATAAAGGGAGTCCAAGGGAAAGGAGCGAAGCCATTTTGGGGCTGCGAATCCAAAAGCAAGACCGGCCGCCCTTTTTTGGGCGTGGGGCGAAAATAGGTGCCCAAAGCGGGAACCTGGTAAATGGAAGGACAAAACCTGCGGTCCAATTGGTGGCTTTATGTTGACCCATCCCAAACCTTCCGAAGACCTGGTTAAACTGGGTTGGTGGAAAAATAAAGTTGCTCTAAGTCTATTTTTTGGGGGTTCTTTTTCGTTGGTCACTCTGAGAAGACCATTTTCCTTCACAATGTCACAAGGGATCCGTTTCTGGTGGAATCCACGTTCGTGGGCCTGAGGGTACCCAATTTTTCGTGTCCTTTTCGTAGGTGAAACAGGTAAAGACCCCTACCCATATTTCCGCTCGCTGTTTTTTTGTTTCTTTTTTTTCTGGTTTCTCTTTGGGCTGAGGCTTTCTGGGCAAGACAAATGTCCTGGTGGGACTCTTGGCCGGGGTCCCTGTCTCGCCCTCCTTGAAGGTCTTCGTGGTGATGAAGGATGCAGGACCAAATTGACACGACACGACCCGACGCGACTGGCGTCCTTTTGTCCGGTGAGTTTGAAATTAAAAATCCACGGGTTTTACTGGTTGAGGTGGGTTTCGTTCCACTGTTTCTCTCGGGGTCATGAGCCATTTCTCCTTCCCAAGCTGCTCGCGGCACCCACAAGTTTGTGTGAGCCAACGGTGAGCTCCTGACAAGTCCCGGATTTGCGTTGGCGCGCCCGCGGCTTGAACGCAGGAGCCCGGACTCGCACATGGGTCTGCTTACTGGGCAGCTTCTACATGCTCCTGTACTTCGATGCCGCGCCCTGGGGCGCATCGCTTTGTCCCAGCCGGATCGGTACCTGGGGCGTTCTTTTTCTCCTTTTTTTCAGAAAAAGAAGATGAAGACAAACCTGCCTGGGACTAACCAAACTTCCAATGAAAAAATGGGCTCGTGGAACCCAAGATGATGGAATTGGGTGAATTCCAACTTTGTGAGGGGTAGTTTGAGGGTTCAGGGTGCTCATAAAGGGAATCCACCCCATGACGTTGCGGCAAAAACCCACATGTTGGAGTTGGAATTTTACGCGGGCCCAGGTCCCTGGATTTCCGAACGAGCTTCGTTTCCGAGGCCATGTTCGGCGGCGGGGCCTTGAAGGAACCCTCCAAGATTTGCTTCTTGGTTCGTGCTAAAGTTGACCCCAGAATGTTGACCCCGGATCTAAGTAGAACCCCTGGTTGATTAATATGGGGGTGAAAACCCCTCCAAATGTGAGAAATCCCCACTAAAACCGGGGACACCCCCATATGATTAAACAGGGGTTTATTAATCCGGGGTCAACATTACTAATCAACCCCAGTTTATTCATACTGTGGATGGTTGCGAAATCCATTTCGCACCACCTGAGAAACCCTCGAATGATGATTCCCCTGTAAATACCAACAAACAGTAGTTTCAACCATGGTTTCAAAGTGGTGCGAAATGGATTTCGTCCATCCACAGTACTAATCAACCCCCGTTTATTCATAGGGTGCCAGAATCCCTGGGTGAAATGCGGGGGGTGTCAGACCACGTTTGGAGGGGCCCCAATGGCTTTGATGAATGTGGGTTGAACATTATGTTTGTACCAAATGACCGTGTGGACCAATCAGATTGTTCCCGTGTCACCCAAACCTCTAAAGGTCCATGGGAAACAAGAAGCGCCCTTGGAACTACAGATCGCAACGTGTGGCGGACTCAGATCGCTTTTGGCGGGGAGCAGCCCCCGATTAATCGGCAGCTCGGTGAAAATTCATACGGGGTCAAGATAAGCAAAGTTGGATCAAGTAAACCTCACAAAGCAAGCCACAGATCCAATCCCAGAAGCGAACAAGATCAGATACATCACTGGAGGGGACTACCTAGAGTCGACCAATGACCTTTTAAACATGGTCATTGGTCGAAAATAAAGGGATCATGGACCCATTTTAAAGGGTCAGAAGGAGACTCCAGGAATTATCAAGCTGGGGTTGGTTAATATGGGGTCAGCATCACAAGGCCAGGGTATGCGAGGTCCCCGCATGGCGCTTAGGTGCTGAGGTCTTCGCTGTCGGTGATACCCAAGTGCGCCTTCGGGGGCTTGGTGGTGTCTTTGGGCAGCCCAGCTGAAAGGCAAAAGGAGGTGGCTCTTCTTACAGTGGATGGACGAAATCCATTTCGCACCTCTTGGAAACCATGATGAAATGCTTGTTTGTTACGGTATTTGCAAGGGATCATATCATTCCAGGGCTTTTTAGGTGGTGCAAAACGGATTTGGTCCATCCACAGTATTTTAGAGCCAGCCCACCGATTTTGGTGAGGGAGTGGCTTTTACCTGGGGTCATGATTTTGACGGTTTCTGGGGGGTGATCAAAGTCAGAAAATGGGGTTATTTCCCCTTGGCCCACCACTTAGGGGTGACTTTGATCATGGCAAAATGTTGAAGCCATAGTATAGCCTTTCATACACATGGGGTCATGAGCCCTTTGTTTTGAGTACATGGACCCCTCAAACTACCAATAGAAACAGATTTTACCAACCATCAATTTGGGTTGCCACCCATTCTTCCGTTTGATTTTTTTGAGGGTTTTCTGGTAGCTCACCAAATTCGGGGGGTTTCCAGCTGACGCCAGGGGTCCTGTCCTGAGAACTTGGGGATCTCTTCATCCGGCTTTTGGAATTGTGGCAACATGTGGCTGTGGTTGTCAACACCAATATCCCATTTTGGTTGGTAGGTTCACCATCCATTTTAGAACCTATTTTAGTGGTTGGATTGAATCGGATGTTCACTGGGGGTACGATTTGGATTTTGATCCATGGCAACATGTGCCCATGTCTTATCCAGGGGGTGATTGCTTGTCCATTCTTTTCAATCATCGTTCTTTTCAGAAACCGGATCCGTTTTCCCGTTTCAAAGGTTTTCTGGAAAGATCCGGATACCTGGAAAGAATGGGGAAGGTACCCCTAGATGTCTTCCTTTCAGGCACCCCCCTACGATCCAAAGCCTTAAGTACAAATAAGATTCGAAGAAGGCTGCGTCTTTAGGATCTTCCGAGGCCGGACAAACTAGTCAGTATATGCTGGTCACAGCGTGCCCTGTACACCAAACAAATCTTGCGAGGAGCATGTCAAGGGAAGCAAAGGCCAGCCTTTGCACAGGGCACCTTGTCCTTTGCTCTTTGATTTGAGCCTTTCTGATGACTTGTTGCATGAGGTCAATGACCAGTTGAGCCACAATCAAAACTCGGGTAGATGAAGGTTAGGGGGCAGTCCCAGCCAGAAATAGTGGCGGATCTCCGCCTTAATTCTTGAAGCATGGTTCTGGCAATTGACCACTTTAATTTAGCGGGTTTGGAGCAAGTGACTCAGTGGAATCCGAACAAACCCGTCAGTTGCTTCGCGGAATTGGCGCGAATCCACTGCGAATCCACCCTGGGTTCACTCCCTGAGTCCCATTTCAACTCACTCGCGAGAAACGGGGACAAAGGTGGTTTGGGGTTTTTGGGTCCCCCAGCAATTGGTGCCCTTTTACCCCTTTTTTTTGGGGAGGGGCAACCCCCTACTAAAACGGACTACAGACAGAAGTTGGTACCCTTATTCTAAGCTCTGGAGGACTTTTTGTTGGTGAATCTTGACCACATCGCATGATTTTGACTCGGCCACTGAAGTTCTGAAGGCCTTGAGCCGGCAGGGCTACAACCAACAATTGAAACCCTGAACTCTTTGGGCTGGTTGAACCAATTCGACCTAACAGTTGACGCTCCAATAGGATACTAGGCCAAACAAGGCCAAACCAGTGGTTGATTGAGGGCTGGAACAGGGGCGCTTTGGGGGGAATGGGGGGGGCGGCCCTTGGGCGTCTCAAAATGGCAGACCCTTGGTTGGTCTCAATGGGAAAGCAGCCCTACTTTGAGAAACACCCAACTCAAGTTGTGTCAAACAGGAGCCCCCCTCCCCCCAAAGCACAAATATGAGTTGTTTCTTTTGGCAGACCAATCCCGAAACGTACCCTAAACCATGGCACACTCGAAATCGCCATGCATTTCAATAGGTTGCCACCTCAAAAGTGGTTGGTGGACCAAGTCATCCCCGAAATTTGGATGTCCACCATTTCGGGTCCAAGATCGATGCCCGCCTGGGGAAACCACTCTCTAGCTGGTGCGTCTAGGATTTGGACCCCCCAAAACGGTGAGTTTTGGTTTTCCTTTTGGCTTCCCTTTAAAACCAACCAACAATGGGCACCAACTCAAATTTCCATGGGAGAAAAGTCTACATGGGTCTGCCGGGACCGGAAAGAACTACCCACATAAAAGGTGGAATTCACCCATGTCACAATTTCGGATTGCAATAAACCATGTTACAGCTGGAATTCTAAAAGGGCTGCCAACTCAAAAAAAAGACACTCCACACATGGCTGTGTGTCAAAACTAAGTTGCCCAAAATGGCACCCTCGATGGACACATGGACTAAAATGAGCGGTCCCCCGGTGGCCTAATTTTGACCCATACTCACCTAGATCCCCCAGCAATTGGTGCCCTTTTACCCTTTTTTTTTGGGGGGGAGGGAGAGTTCCCCCTACTCAAATAGACTACAAGAAAAAGTACCTTTATTCTAATACAAAAAAGGTACCCTTCTTCTAACCTCCAAATCTGGAGGCTGGAGGACCTAGTCACATAGCCAGGGTTGATCTCCCTGACGGGAAGCCGCTAGGCTTCGAGTTCCTCACCACGCACCTCGACTTGAGAGCTTTGAAGCGGGAGGCACCCCTTTTTTTCAGCTCCAAATGTGTTCCTGAACCCTCAAACTACCCATAAATTCCATGTTGGGGCAATAGCCAGCTTTGAGGGAATTGTTCTTTCCGCGGGTTCCCGTTTTTGGAGCCAAAAGGGAAGCCAAGAACAACCATCCTGGGGGTCCAGGGTAGTTGTGGTTAAAATACTACTTGGTTGGGGTGGGGGTTCCGTGAGTTGACCCAGGACTCGATCCAAGTACTCAAAATCAGGGGGACAGAGACATTGCTTGGGATGCAAAAGCAACTATGCTGATAGTTATCATCATCATGATACTGATCATCATCCTGATCATCATAACACACAATAAGGTTAGGTGTGGCCATCTTGTTTTCTTTTTGCATTTGGGGGTTGGTTGATCAATGCACATGAGAAGACCACTGGGTAAAGCCACCAAAAAGATGAGATTTCTTACTAAATGGGAAGAGTTACCCATCATCATTTGGGGGCGAGGAATATTTCTGAGGGTACTTTCCCCATTGTTTCCAAAAATCCTTCTTTCTAGAAAACCTCCGAAGACCCAATGGGAAAACGCCCAGGTTTCTGAAAAGAACGATGGTTGAGAAGAATGGGGAATCAGTTCGTGAGAATATTGATCAACCCACATTTCTTCGAGTCGACCGCTTCACAAGGTTTTGCCGTTGACTCAAAATTGTCCCCAGCTTGCTTTAGGGAAGGATCTCACAACACGGCAGCGTGTTCTCCATTGACGACCTATCGCTGGTTTCAATATGCGCCCATGTTTTTCGTTTTTACTTTAAAATCTACATATATATATATATATATATATAAATATATATATATATATGTTCCAGGCCGTGGACCCCCCCCCCCCCTCCCCCCCCAACCCCCCCCCCCCCTGTGGGGGTGGGGTGGGTGGGTGGGGTGGTGGGGTGGGTGGGTGGGGGTGGTGGTGGTGGCGGGGTGGTGGGGTGGTGGGGTGGTTGGGTGGTTGGGCCAACCACCCCCCCCCCCCTGTGGGGGTGGGGTGGGTGGTGGGGTGGTGGGGTGGTGGGGTGGTTGGGTGGTTGGGTGGTTGGGTGGTTGGGGTGTGGTTCGGAGTTGGTTTAGGCTTGGTGGGTTGGTTTAGGGTTGGTTCAGGGTTGGTTCAGGGTTGGTTTGCGGTGGGTTTCGGGTGGGTTTGGGGTTTGGGTTGATTTAGGCTTAGGGTTGGGGTTAAGGAGGGGTTGCAGGGTGGTTTGGTTTAGGGTAGGATGTTGCGAGAGGTGCGGGGGTGTTGGTTCACGGGGTGAAAGGGGGTCTGGGACGGAAGCTGCAGGGCTCGCACGGACAGCATCCCCAGCATTGCTAACATCATCCCCAAGATGCGGATGATGCGGGGGAGTGGGGGGACCATACCATTTGGGGGGGGGGGGGGACGTGGCCCAGGGACTGGTACATATATATATCAACGTATATACATCAATGCATATATATATATATATACATATACATAGACCGCCAAGAACATGTAGGTCTTTGTTCATGTTTAGGTTTTTCTTTTCTGGTCCAGGAAGTGGAGATGCGCCGCTCGAAAGTACGAATGAGTTTCGCTCGACTTCGCTGCACTGGGTGTATATATACATACCTAGATCCTCGAAATATCGATAACAAATACGAAATCAACAACCACGATTTTGGGGCAATACCCATTTTTCAGTTGGACTTTTGAGGGTCGGGTACACATTTAAGCTATGTTTGATCACGTCAGTGATGCGACTTCACCCTGTTGCTTGGACTGCATGTTTCTTCCCACTCGTCATTTCTTTCGGATATCGTGAATCATGACAGTTCCGCAAAAACAAAAACTGCCCTAGCATCCCAAGACCTTACATACGAGGGCCTTTGACCCCAACAGAGCCCAAATAGTAGGGTCTTGGGACCCTCCAAGGAGGCTCCAGGGGGGGGTCCACTGACAGCTGAATAAATATTTGCGTCGATAGGTCAAACAAGCGACGTGCTTGGGAGAGGTTCATGGAGGAAGATTGCTGTTGCACTTGGGCTTCTTGTTTGTTTGTGTTTATTTGCTCATGGTCTGCTGGAGGCTACAGCCGCTCTCTCTCTCTCTCTCTCTCTCTCTCTCTCTTTTTCTGAATTGGTGGCTTGGGATTTGACCCGGTTCGAGTTGGTACATGCGAATCACCCCGAACCTCTAAGTTGCTACGCATTTCAATATTATGGAGCCCGTCAAAACGGTGGTAAAACCTCACCTAACTGATGCGTAAAAAAATCGGGTCCCCATTTTGTAGAGCATACCTGGACCCTCAACATTACAACTAAGAAATTTGTTCTTGCAAATGGGTGAATTCCAACTTTGTTTTTGATGGGTACCTCGGTACCTGGACCCTCGCACTACCCAAGAAGTTGACCAATTTCACCACGTTGGGTTGCAAAATAGTTGGATTTTCTTTAGTTCTTTCGGGTTCCGGTACCGTCCATCCCCCAAAAACGACATTAGGAGCCGAAGGGGAGCCGAGGGAATCGGTGGCCTTAGGTCCCTGGTGGAATCTCGAGAGCGCATCGCGGTGGCAGAGTGGCGCTTGGTGGCGCCTCGAGGAATAGAAGGAATCGAGCTAGTGTGATAGAAAAGGCTCACTTGCATGGTTGTCGTTGGGAAACATTTTGCATTTTTGCTTATTGTGGTTTAGTGGTTGAAATCCAACCACTCAACTGCTAAAATTTTGTTTTTTGCTCCCCTAACCCAAGCTTGGGAGGTGCTTTTTGTTTAGGGACCTTCAAACTGGTGAGTTTCGGTTTTCCTTTTCCCTTAACAACCGCCAAGCATGGGGTTACTCCCATAAAAACTCACGAGGTCCTGACCCCTCCAATGGAGGGAGCCACGTCCTCAAAACCTGTGTAGAAGGTTAAGGGACAGTCCTCTTGGGTGCGGAAATATCCGGTGGACAGTTGTGGGAGCATGGTTCTGGGTAGGCCATTTGAATACCCGTTTGCCCTTTTTGGTCCATAGTCATGGCCGAAAGGGTGGTCCTTTGTCTGGGTCCTTTGGGCAACTGAGTGTGACTGAATCGTTTAGGTGGTGTCCTTTTGAATCCATTCAAAGGGAGGTCTTTAGGTCTCCCGCGAAATGTTTCAGTCTTTCGTATAACTCCTGTCTACGGTGAAAAGAAGGTACCTGGACCCTCAAGCTACCCAGAAGAATGGGATTGCACCCTATAGTAGCTCACTAATTTGGAATTTTGAGGGTCCAGGTAGATCTGCAAACCGCGTGTTTACTGCTACTTGTGTTCTGGGTACTCTCTAGCGAGGTGTGGCCCATCAAGTGAAGAACTCGGAAGGTTCTTGCGGTTGACATAGCCTCCCAGGCGGGTATGTGTCAGGATAGGGCCACCCTGAAAGGTAGTGGCTTCCTGGTTTTCCTCCAAACCCCGGTGAACACGGGTACCCGAAGAAAGAAGTTGGAGCTCACAAATTCCATCATGGGTTGCAATTTGCAACCCATGTTTCTCTGATTCCGCCATGTGTTGCAATTTGCAACCTGGCTGGGAATTTTGGATCCAGTCAGAAGCCACAAGCCATCCAGGTAATCACATGTGTCCTGGTCTACTTCAACGTCCTCATGGGCATCCTCTTTGGCGTTGCCATGACCACCGCCTTGGGCTCAGCCTATGGCAAGAGATGGGCGTTTCTCATGCGGGACCCCTACGGTGGATGGTTGCGAAATCCAGAAATCGCACCACGAAATGAAGCCATGGTTGTTTTTGTTTGTTTGTTGGTATTTACGTTGGGGAATCGAATCTTGAGTGCCCAAAGTGCGTGAAATTCGCTCGGGTTTACCTGAACCCTCAAAATGCCAACTTGACAATGGGGCATTGCAACGCAACGCCATGGTTTATGGGTAGTTTGAGGGTTCAGGTGCACATGTTGACCGAACTAACTACCGTGAATAGTTGCGAAATCCAGACATCGCATCATAAAATGAAATCATGCATTTGTTAGTTGGTATTTACGTTGCAAAATCGACTCATTCCAGGTTTTCCGGAAGGTGGTGCAAAATGGATTTCGTCCATCCACAGTAGAATGGCTGGTTTCCTTTTGGTTTGCCTGCGCATGTTGACCTCCTTCGTTTTGAGAGCCCAAGTGTTTTATCCAACAATCCCTAGTCTCCTATTGACAAGTTCCAGTCAACTTTGCCTAGCTCCACTTAAGTGCCTGTTGCTATTTGGGTTTTTGACTTTTTCAAACAGACTCCTTTCCGATTGATGTTTTGCTTTGGTTTCCCTTTCAAACCACCCCAAGCCTACCCTCAACAAAAATACCCATTGTCTTCGGGGCTTTGTAGGTCAAAACATAGTGATCTTGGACTCGATTTGCAAGAAAGCTCTTTCAGGTTGCTATGTCTTCAGGGACCCAACAAACCACCACCCTCAACGACCCCTCCCCGAACCATAAAGACCTTATTGGCCCTTTGTGGTGCTGGTGCTCAGGTCAACTTTGCCTAGCTCCAACGTGTTGTAGTTAAGTGCCTGTTGCTATTTGGGTTTTGGATTTTTTCAAACGGCCCCCCCCCCCCCCAAATCCCCCCCCCCCCCAAATTGATGTTTTGCTTTGGTTTCCCTTTGACACCACCCCAAGCCTACCCTCAACAATTATACCCATTGTCTTCGGGGCTGTCTTTCTGTGAGGTCTTCTTTATGGTGGAATACTCGGCCATGACGGGTGTCACCCAGCGCGCCACCATGCGGGAGGTCAGGTCCCTGGTGGAAAGGGACGACCCTCAGACCGATCTGCTGGACAAGCACGGCTATGAGGTGGCCGTGCCTCCTGGCCGAAAAGAACGCTCAACTAGGTCCCCCAATAATTAGTGCCCGTTCTCAGCCGTTTTTTGGTTGGGAGGGTTCCCGTACTAAAATAGACCACAGAAAAAAGGGAACCCTTATTCTAACCTCTCTACTGGAGGATCTAGCGGAATCTAAAGGAAAACCTCCATTGTGGGGGTCCGATTCCTATGCCGACACATGCCCGAATTGTCTTCTCTCATTGAATCATATCTCCTGCAGAAGCATGGAAGCTTGCTTGGTTAAGGGGTACACAACCGTGTTTACCAGGACACAAACCTGTCATGCTTTATGCCCATGCAATTTTTGCTTCAGCTCGATCCCTTCAGAACTCCTTCGCTTGCACGCAGGTTCTGGTGCTCTGGCTACATCTTTTTCGGCACTGCCAATGACATCGACACTTGGCGGAGATCATTGTTTGCTCCAATGAGATACGCTGGTAACCTTCAGCTTTGTTTTAAACAAAATGTGTCTGATCAAGATGGTTTTGCTTGGGGTGTTTTTTTTTGCTTGCGTACTTGGTTGGCAATGTTGACCCTGGATCAATACACCGGTTAATCCTTCTAAAAGGGGCAGCCCCCCGATCAAAATCAATCAGGGGTTTTATTCTGGGGTTCCCATGACGGTTCCTGTTTTGGATACCCACCTGCTACTCGAAGAACCTACAAAAAGGTGGGGTTGGCAGCAAACACGGGTTTTGCACCTGCTACTCGTCGACAAATTTGGGTTGTAGGATTTTGGAGTAGGCAAACACCGGGTTTGACCCCTAGAAAAAGGGTCCATGACCGGGGTGCCCTTTACATCTAACCTGAAAAAAGGCCCCCAACAAGCGCACAGCCCCCTGTATTCGTCCAGACACTCTCAGACAGACCGAGAACTTCTCGCAACAAAAAATCCTGGGAGCCATTGCCCTGAGATATCGAGCACACCAATCCCCAAACTCGCTTCCTGCTACCTGGGGTCTCCTTCTGACCCTTTGAATACGGTTGGTCATTACCCAAAAGACAGCATGGAGACTCCGGGCAGTTCTTTCGGGTTCAGGGACCCTCCAAACCCAAATGGGTTTAAGGCTTTGTTGAGGCTCGGTACCCTGAGCGGCTGGTTCAACCGGGGTTCCGAATGAGAGAACGCCCTCCGAGGTGGATGAGGTTCAGGCAGGGCTCTGGGGCTCTGGCGCGCGAGGGCGGGGTTGGCCCACCCAGGTGGCGGTCACCATGTGCCGCACACCCTGGGTTTTATGGGACTTTACCCTCCCTTCTAACATGGCAACCTGTTGGAGGGTACCTGGAAGATCATTTTCCTCTTGTAGGGTGCCATGATAGTGGGAGGGAGGGTAGTCTTTATTGTTGGGTTGGTTGACCATTTTAGTGGTAAGCCAACAGTTCCAGGACTTGTTTTGGACCAATCCGCTCGATCGGAAGTGAGATTATGTCCGGGGGGGTATTCTTTGAACATCAACCACCACCACAACGAGTGCCCTTGTTTCCATGGCATTTCAGGCTCTACATGTAAGCCAGGCTTTCGACACCGAATAATTGAGTTGCTGAAACAACCTCGCTGGTGCTTGCGATGTGCGAGCTGGCCATGGAACACCTGATCCTGCTGCTGTCCGAGAACCGATTGCAGAAACTGTTCAGCCGCACTGAGAATGTTATTTTGACAGAAACTCTGCGGCCGTCCTCGACACCCAAAGTGAAGTTGCTCTAGCTTCAGCTGGAGGCGTTGCTGCAAAAGGTGTTGCAGCCGCTTTGGCTTCGTACATGCGGCAGTGGGAACGGCAACGTCGCGAGTCGTGAGCTGCCTCCCGCGCAACGAGAACTGCCTTCTTGCAAGCAGCAAAGTGGTGTTGAAGAGAAGGGATGTTCTGGCCAGCAACTTGAAGGGGCGGGGTTCCTGGTAAGTGGTTCGTAAACCTGGTTATAACCCACAAAGGAGACTTATAACCATGGCAAGTGAGCTATAACCAGGCTTACGAACCACTTACTAAGCACCCTACCCCTTTCAGCAAAGATCGTGCGTGTTGGCATTTGCCACGCGGAGGCATCAGCTTGCATGTTGGCGCTTTCCTTTCCTGTCAACACCCACTACTTGGGGTTCTTGCTGGGGGACCCCGCTAAATGCCATCGAAATAGGACCAAAAGAAGGAAGTTTCTCACCTGAGCTCATGGGCTTCAAACGTATTTGGAAAGATCACTTTGGTTGCACTCAAGAAGTTTGGATATTTATTTTCGGCCCATCTACTCCATCGGAAGTGAGTCTTACTTGCGTCAAGGAACCAGGGGGCTTTCTTCAGCTTACATGAGGACCGGGGTACGTGGATTCCACGGGAAGTGGGCGGCAGTTGGGGGCCAAAGGCCGCCTGCAGTTGGCCTCCTTGAGACCACCGAAAACTCTCCCAACCAAGGGCATGTGGGAAGCCGCCAGAAAAGCCGTAGTAGGTTCCAGTGGGTGTTTGGTGCCCCAGTTCGGGATGCCTTTGCCTTTGCCTCGTTTATTCAAAAGAAAGAAGCCGCAAAAGCGATCTGCATCTGTTGCGGGGCATTCCATATGCACTCACCATGCACATTGTCATCGGGAAATGGGGCTCACCGAACATGGCATGTCATTGGCACAGTGAATGCTGACCATTGAAAACCGTAGCTTATGTAGCATATAAAGCCCCCTTCTGTGGGGAAGGTATCTGCTGTCAACAAGTCTAAGCTGTTTCTCCCAAGTCCACAGTGAACATAGTTGGGTGTATCGTTTTTGAGGCTCGATGCCATATTGGTTGCCTTGAAGGGAGCCCAAAACGAAACCACTGACCCGGACCCACACAAATCCTTCAAAACATGGGGTCATTGCGGATAGGCTCAGGGGCGTGGGTCTAGGCACCCTTATTTGGGGGTTCTTCCATTTGCTTAAGAATATGTTCTATGTTCCCTTGTTGGTTTTACAGGCAATTTATAACTGGACATATTTTCCAATTTTCCCCGCGGGCGAACATGGAATGGGCAAACATGTCCTTTTTTAATAGGTACCTGGACCCTCAAACTACCCATAAACAAGTTGACAATTAACCCATTTCATAATGTTGGGTTGCAATAAGTCCCATGTTCAAGGGATTGTTTGGTGTCTTGCTGGTCATGACCCCAAGACAAACCATCCAACTGGTGGTTTCCCTCTTCTGGGCACCCCGGCGAAAACTCGGGATCAAACAATCGTCTACCTGGACCCTCAAACTACCCATCAACCAGTCGAGAATTCCTCTTTTTATACCTGGACCCTTGGAGTGCACCCATTCCACAGAGTTTTGGGTTGCAAGAATTCCCTGGACTTTTGGTACCTTGGACTTTTGGTTACCTTGGACTTTTGGTACCTTGGTTACCTTCCACAAGTTTTGGGTACCTTGGACTTTTGGTGTCCGGGTCCTCTCCGCTTTCAGGCCTGGCTGGACAGCTCCCCCACCACGCGGCGCCCTGGCAAGCGCAAGCGCAAAGGCGGGTGAGAAACGGGGTCCGGGCTCCGGGAATCTCCTGGTCGCCATCCGGTTCATCAACCCCAGCTTGTGAATAGGGGGGTGTCAACCTGGGTGAAATGTGGGGAATCTGACCACTTGGAACACTTCCATATGAACTTGGTGGCTCCCGAAGGCCATCCGGTTCCTTAGCCTTTTAGCTTTTCAGTGTTCAGTGGTTGGTTTTCCATTTTTGGTGGATCTGAGGACGGCTCAGGCTCCAGTGCTGGAGTCAAACGGGTTTTCGGCTCCAAGGACCCATGGATGGTGGGTTTCTTTTTGGGCAACCACCCATAAAAAAGCAGGCGAATTTCCACCACTTCCCTGACTTTGCGTTGCATGGCCTAGTTTTAAGGTGGCAGCTTCGGGTCGGGGAAAAGGGATCACAGCTCAGATTTGGAGTTACCGGAGTTCCTCGGCGGGACACAAGGCAACTGCCATGAAAACCACGGGGAATTCGCCAAGTCCATAAGTTTGCCGATTCCAATATGGCAATCACCATTTCTTCGTTGGATGTTTAACTGTTTGAGGGTGGAAACTCGGGTACCCGAATAGAAATAAAGGCTTCAAACCAACTTGGGATGAAGAAGGACGGAACAAGGTTCGATCTGGAAACGTGTGCAATGGAATAAGAATCGCAGCTTTTCCAACCTGGGATCGTACCAGGGCTTGGGTTTGGAGAGAGCAATGGAGTAATTCTGAAGGCCCTGTACCCTTGGGAATGCCAAGCACCGTGGGTCGTTTTTTTTTTTTTTTGCGGATACCTTTTTCAGGCAACAGGAAAGCCATCCTTTTTGCCCAACGTTTCCTGTTATTCTTACACATTCCCATCTATCTATCCCCGACATGCATGTCACATCGATGTGGCGGCCCATGTTGATAAGTGCGGATATGAGTTTGATTGGGAGGATGGTGGACATCAATATTTCGTCCATCCACAGTATGTGCCATAACTCTTTTTTTACCTGAGATTTGTAGGGATGGTCGTCAGCACCCAGCCAACCCCCAGACCCCCAGGAGCTACCCAGACCCTCAAAGTTCCGACTCAAACGTGGTTTATTGCAACCCAGAATTGTGTTTGGTGAATTCCTTCTGTGGGGCTAGTTCTTTCCAGGTACCTGGCTTAACTGGGCTTGTGTTGAAAAACTGGCATACCTTTGTATCCATGTTGGAACACCCTGAACAAAAATTGGTTCCTTCAACCCCCCCCCCCAAACAGAAAAACAACTCCAATGCAACACATATTTGGTGTATGTTGCTTGGATGTGACTTTAACTTTTGGCCAACAAAGGGAGACCCCAACAAGAAACACGCACAGGTACCCTCCACAAATGGTCCCAAGTTCACCGGGTGAATCAGTGAAATGGGTTCCTTCAATTTCGCCCCCCCCCCCTTCCCCAACAAAAAAAAACACAAGTCCCCTCGAAATGGGTTCCTTCAACCGCCCCCCCCAAAAAAAACATACTATAACAAAAAGCACGGGTACCCTCCAAGGGAATCCCCTGTTTCAATGGGGGTGCTAGTCTTTGGGAGACCCACAGCCCTGTCCCAAATTATTCACCGGGCGCTAAGGATCGTGATCCTGGACTTTGAGCAGGTCCCAGCCGTGGACGCCTCCGGCGTGCAGTCCTTGATCACCTTCGCCTCCGCCTGCGGCGCCGCGGTGGAGAACGCCGGGAGAGAACACCTGGCTTGGTGGCTGCCATGATGGTTTCTTGTTTTTGGTTCCCAATTAATTATGCAGCACTCCTTAAAAGATACATTTTGCAACCATTTGAAACATGTGGCTTTTTCAACATCAATAAAGTTGGAAGCCACCATTTACAAGTTGCAAGGTTCAGGTGTATACTGCATCCGGATCCCTGTTATGGGTATAATGTGAGGGTCCTGGCAAAACTCTGGGTCTTGTCAAGGGATTGCTTTGGGGAGCGGCGTGTGTTTGTTGTTTTCGTTGGTTGAATGTGGGTGGGTGTCCATTTAACCCACCAACAGTTAAGCCTTTTGCAGGGGGATCTGAGGACAGCCCAATTTTGCCGTGGAATGTCCTGGCAACGTGAAGGTGGATTGGGGTCAACAGGGGTTCTGGTTGTCACCATTTCCCGAGTTTTAGACTCAAGTGGGGGTGTGGGGTGAAGAGGGGTTCCTGTTGTCACCCTTTCTTGGTTAGCCATACCCACTGACTTTTAGACCCTTCAGAGCTTGAGAGGATTTAGAACATATCCCACTAATGTGTTGTTTGCTTGCTGCTTTTGCAAGGGATCAGCGAACCGAGTTTCGGGCTGGCTTCATTTGGAGATGTATAAGTGCATTTCCCTTGGGCGGGCTGATGTTTCAGGGTACTTTCTTTAGGTGTTGCTGTGAACTTTGGTCTTGGCTCTCCGACAAGCTCTCCGACAAGATCGGAGTGATCCGGATCAGCTCTAAGGGATGGTTTTGTATTCGGTTCCCGGAGTTTCCTGGGCTGTTGGGGATACCACTTGGGCCAGAAGAGGATGCAGGTTGTTCCACATTGGGTTGAAGAAAGGGAAAGATGGGCAACTGGAGAGTGAGATCTACACGCTTGGGTCTAGTAACAAGTGAACACATTGACATCATATATACGTATTGTCTATATATATATTTACATAATATATATATATATATATATATTCAAATATATATTTATATATATGTAAACACAGATTCAGTTGCTTTGCGTATCATCTGGGAATCTACATGGTTGACGTGTTGGATGGTGGTGTTGAGGAGATGAAGCGCAACAGGCAACCAACCAGTTGCATGGGCAACACTTCGGTCATGGTGCCCGAAAGGTTCCTATTTCAACCCATCAATTTGCAGCCAAAACCCATTGTACAGTATGCGTATCTACATGATAGTATGCGTGTCTACATGATACGTGTACATAGTCATTTTAAAAAATGCACATATGAGACTAACACATGTGTATACATATATATTTCTATATATATACATATATATATGTATATATATATATGGTCACCCCCCCCCCAGGGCCTACCTTTCTACTTTTTGCATGAAAGATATTTTCTTGCAGATGTTCAGTGTCCACTTGGTTTGCAGATGCCTTGCAGAAAGCACTGTAATTTACGGTGTTTTTGTGCAATTTTTGATATTGTCTCAGATGTGCTTTCTGTACTTGATGCAAAACAGGATTCGAGAAAGCAACAAACACGAAAACGGAAAGCGTTTTCAGATGCAACTTTGTCAGTTGTGAAATCACTGTTATTTGCAGTGTTTTTAAAGGAAACTGCAAAACAACACCTTTTTTTAACGTTTCTTGATGGTTTCAGCCTCAAAACCTGCACAGGCTCAAACAAATGCAAAACATCCAAACCTGGAAGCTCCAAAACCTGCACAGGCTCAAAAGAATGCAAAAAATGCATATTTTTTTGCATTTTTTGCATTTGTTTGAGCCTGTGCAGGTTTTGAAGCCTTCGGTGCTTAAAACCTGCACAGGCTCAAAAAAATGCAAAACATCCAAACCTGGAAGCTCCAAAACCTGCACAGGCTCAAAAAAATGCAAAACATGCAAAACCCAGATGCAAGTCAGAGGTCAGGGCTTGATTGGTCTGGATTTTGCAGTTTTTGCATTTGTTTGAGCCTGTGCAGGTTTTGAGGCTTCCTGGTTTGGATTTTTTGCATTTTTTTGAGCCTGTGCAGGTTTTGGAGCCTTGGGTGCTTAAAACCTGCACAGGCTCAAAAAAATGCAAAACATCCAAACCTGGACGCTCCAAAACCTGCACAGGCTCAACAAAATGCAAAAAATGCAAACCCCAGATGCAAGTCAGAGGTCAGGGCTTGATTGGTCTGGATTTTTGCATTTTTTGCATTTGTTTGAGCCTGTGCAGGTTTTGGAGCCTTGGGTGCTTAAAACCTGCACAGGCTCAAAAAAATGCAAAAAATCCAAACCTGGAAGCTCCAAAACCTGCACAGGCTCAAACAAATGCAAAAAATGCAAAACCCAGATGCAAGTCAGAGGTCAGGGCTTGATTGGTCTGGATTTTTGCAGTTTTTGCATTTTTTTGAGCCTGTGCAGGTTTTGAGGCTTCCTGGTTTGGATTTTTTGCATTTTTTTGAGCCCGTGCAGGTTTTGGAGCCTTGGGTGCTTAAAACCTGCACAGGCTCAAAAAATGCAAAAAAATCCAAACCTGGAAGCTCCAAAACCTGCACAGGCTCAAAACAATGCAAAAAATGCAAAACCCAGATGCAAGTCAGAGGTCAGGGCTTGATTGGTCTGGATTTTTGCAGTTTTTGCATTTTTTTGAGCCTGTGGCCAGCTTTGATGCCATTGAGAAACCAAGCCATTGAGGTAATGAGTGCTCTACTGATAAATCAGATGCTTACAGGACAGCCTTTGATATAACAGTGCAGCAGTGATGACACACACACACACAATCATCAACCTTTTAGGACCACATGCCCAAACCACATCAAACAAGGCCCCAAATGAGTGTCCTTTTCTTCCCAAACAATAGTTTCCACTTGCTACGCAATAAGCCTACAGAAGGTTTATAATCTTTCAGAAAAGTTTATAAACCTTATTGAGTGTTTGACGAGTTTCCCGCATCAAGGCAACAACACCCTACGAAGTGTTCATGGTATCGTTGAAGGAGGGGGGGGGGTGGTTGGTTGGAAGTCTTAGCAGTGAGGTGTGACTCAGCCAACTTTGTAAAGACTTCTCAGTACCCCCCCCCCCCTCCCCCCCCTGCCCTTGTTGCAAGGAAACCGTCAAACCCTTGACATGGTTTATAAACTGTCTTGAAAGTTTATAAACTCTTTGCTGTTGTTACTCAACATGACTTGTCACCCACAAACAAATATGCAGCAACAGCACACTTCTTGCGTATATATGCTCACACCCCCTGTCCTTAAAATAAGAGGGTTTTGTACATTTTGAAGTGGAAAGGTAGGCCCTGGGGGGGGGGGTGAGCATATATATATATATATATATATATATTGGTCCAAATACCTTGCAAGGATGTACTTCGACCCCTGTTTCTCCAAAAGCCCTCTGGCTCTGTGGCCGCGGGGGCTTTCCCGTTACTTTTTTTTCAAACCATCCGGACGTTCAAAATTGCCGCCATAAATGGATAAAAGTCCTAACATGGGGTGAATTCCCTTTTGTCATAATGTAACCTACTTACCAAGCTGGTTGAAGGAATGAATAAACGCGGGAATCCCAAAACGGTTCATTCCCTCATTCCCTACTTATCGCACCAGCAAGAAAGGAAAAACTTGGTAAGCAGGTTATAGCCACAGTTACAAGGAGACAAATCCCAGTTACCCAAGCTTAGTTACCAAGCTGGTTGAAGACCCAACAAAAAAGGGTGCCATGTTTTACACTCGCTTCGCTCAGAAAAGCGGCGCCCCGCGGTGCATCTAGCGCTCACCGGGCTGGTGCGACGCCTTCACCTCTCAGTGGAACGGGCTGCCAGCGCAGAGAATGCGCCCGGAATGAAGCGGAAGCGCGCGTTAGGCGTGAAACGGCGTTTGAAGCCCAGAAGGCATGGCAAGTTGCGTGTTTTTATGGTTTGGGAGTTGGTACTGTACCTGGACTTTCAACATCTTCTTAATATTGGGCATTGCCTCACCATTATGGGGGAATTCACTCTTTTGATGGGTATTACCCATTTTTGGGTGGTGCTCGCTTGAATCTTCGGCTAGCTTAGGCGGTCAAGAACTTTGGTTGCAACCTACTCAGTCCCAAGCGTTTTTTTTAGTGTCACCAAGCAAGCACCAGCAATCCCTTGATGGACCTGAGTGGTTCACTCGAGGTACGTGCCTCGGACGTTGGGATATACACCACTCGAGTTTCGAGGCACCTGGACCCCCAGAATTCCCCGAAAGCATCGATTTGTTTTGTGTTTTAATGAGCAAAGATACCTTTTGGGGAAGACTGATATATATGGACTAAGGGAAGTGTGGTTGAGGGGGAGTCAAAGGCTGAATGTGTACGCCGCATATATGAACCCAAGGCCGTTTGGGGCTGATTTCCCATAGTTAAGTGATAGCTAACGGTCAATGGGGGTTCCAGAAAGAAGTCTATGAAGTATGACATCCTGCAAACATCGCATGGAACCTGACTTCCGGGAAACACCATGTCCAGGCTTAGGAATTGGTTGCAGATACCTAAACCCTCAAACTACCCATAGCAAAAAGGGAATCACCAACCATATGCAACAACCCATGTGCAAAGGGATGTTGAGGCTTCAGGTAGACGCAAACAAATTTCAACTACTTTGAGCATTTCAAGATCTGGCTCTCATGGACCGAGCCGAAATGTCAAGATCTGAAGCTCCGAAGTGGACATGAATCTCCACCTTTGAGGGTTCAGACAAGGGAATGATATGGCTGTGGCTCAAAATTAAACTGCAGGTTTTGGTCCATGTTTCCACTTGCCAGGGCAAGCCATTTTGGGTACCGGTTTTTTGAGCCACAGATATGATTCCTCTGGAACTACCAACCATTATGGTTTCAAATGGTTCATTTGTGTGGTGCGAAATGGATTTCGTCCATCCACGGTATGTTGCATGACCTAACCCCCCTGTTATTTTTTCCAGGGATGGTCGTCCAACCACCACCACAGAGCCGTTGCGTGAGGTGTTGTTGTTGGGTCCTTTGCGGCTCCGGGGGAGTCCGGCAAATGATGTGTTTGTGGACCCATTTGGATGTCAAACATAAAAATGGGTCTTGGTTATGGTCCTTGGGACATGTCAATCATCCAAATGGGTTGGGTATGGGTCTTTCTACAGCGGATGGACGAAATCCTGCACCACCCAAGAAGCCTGCAATGAAGATATCCTGTAAATACCAACGAACGTTCTGGTTTCAACCATGGTTTCATGTCACGTTTCCTCTGCGAGGTGAAAATGAGCCTCAGCACGCACCGCTTGGAAGCCACCCTGGAGTGGGCGGAAGAGCGAGTGCTGAAAGGCCGGCCGTTGCAGCTGCTTTAGGCCCCACAATGTTGACCCCATGTTAATCTTGACCCAGGATCTAAGTAGAACCCGTCCCATTCTTAGGGGGGCGTTCTCTCCAAAAGTGGTCCGAATCCAACCACTAAAAGGGGACACCCTTTATTTATCCGGGGTTAACATTAATCAACCCCAGTTAATCAATACTGTGGATGGACGAAATCCTGCACCACTTTGAGGCACGGGAAACCATTGTGTGTTGGTATTTGCAGAATTCCAGGGTTCTAGCACCATTCCAGGGTTTCTTAGGTGGTGCAGGATTTCGTCCATCCGCAGTATGGAGTGTTCCCCTCCAAAAGTGGTCTGATTCCCCACATTTCACCCAGGGAGAAGCACCCCTATGAATAAACCGGGGTTGATTAATATGGGGTCATCATTGTTCTCCATAGGCGTTTTGGGACGCTCGACCTGAAATCGCCTTGGGTCGTGGGTCCAACTAAAAAATGGGTTGCAAATTGGAACCCCCCAAAAATATGGGAATTGGTGAACTCCAACTTTTTTTCTGGGTAGTTTGAAGGGTTTCCAGCTTGCCACTTCTGGGTGTTTTACTAGAATGGGCGTGAGAAGTTTGGCTCTGCTCTTTTTGTTGAATTGGTGCGAAGGACGCCACATGTAAAACACCCACTATAGGGGTTCCCTTGTTTCAAGAGCATATTTCCTGGCTTTGAGCATCACGTTCTGGGCCCACTTTAGCTGAGCTGTTGCCTTTAAGCGGGGTGTTGCTTCACGGGGAATACAGGAAGTTTGTGCGCCGGCCTCGTTTTGTTCCTACCCGAGCCTGTTCTTTTTCATTGGCCTCAATGCTACAATATGGTCGTGAGGTTTGCCGAGCAGGTCTACCAAAACAGGTTTCGGCAGAAACACTGCTGGCTTTTAGGCTTGTAGGTCCTGCTTGCTGCCGGCTCAAGTGCTTCGGGAGTATTTCTCGCGTTGCGGCACTTCTGGATTCCGGATGTCTTGTGAAGTGCCACGATCTTTGCCATTTGGATGGTGGTTTGACAGTTGGTTCACATAGACCCACACAATTCCCTCAAACAATTCGTTATTTCCCAACTTTTATGGGTGAATTCCCTCTTTTTATGAGTCTAGGTCCCCCAGCTAGGTGCCCTTTCTCGCCCTTTTTTGGGGGAGGGTTCCCCTACTAAGATAGACAAAAAAAAAACAGTTGGTACCCTTCTTAACCTCTCTGCTGCATGGTTGTCGTTGGGAAACATTGGACACATTTTTGCTTATTGTGGTTTAGTGGTTGAAATCCAGCTCCACTGAACTGCCAACATTTGGGAATTTTCGCTCCCCTAGCCCAAAGTCCGCCAAGCTACTGGACCGAATCCAATTCGCCAGGCCGGGTGAAGACGGGGAAGGTGACCAACGAGGCAGATCTCTCGGAGCCCAAAGTGACCTCCGCCAAGCTGCCCTCCCGGCGCCTCGGTGTCTCGTTTCTCGGGTTTTTTTTCTTCGGCGCGCGGGGGGGCTGTGGCGCCCACGAAGATATTGACCCCCCCCCCCCACAAGAATCCACTTGTTTATTAAGAAAAACACAAAAAAAAAAACGCGTGAAATCTGGTGAAATCTGGCTGGAATCAGAGTAATCAGCCCCAAAAACAAACAGGCAGCCCAGCTTTGTGAAGAAACATGTGTCCATATAAAACCCAAAGGCGCCAGCCCAGGGCCTGCCGCCCATTCGGAGGCTAAAAGAATCCACCTGTTTATTTGAATAGGGGGGTGTCAAATCTGGTTGGAATCAGACCACTTTGGGAGGGGCATGAGGAGCCAAAACCCTTCCATGAAGAAACTGCAGTGGATTTCGACCCCACCGTCGAGCCCGAAGTTCGCTTGGCTTGCGGCCAGCTGGTCGGCATGCAAGCCTGGCGCCAACTCAATCCCCGCGAATCCCTGGCGTTTCGCCACTATAGTATATAGGTACCCAACCATGTTCCTTTAGCGTTTTAAAGGGCAGTCCCCTGTGGCTCGTAAAACTAGGAAAAGTATGTGTGTTGAGGGTACCCTTTCAGGTTGGTGTAAAACCAACAGCAAAACCACCATCTCACTTGCCCGACCTCTTGCTCCTTGATTAGGTTCATTGTTAGTCAACTTTCCAAAAAGGTTAACCTTGTATTTATGTGTCCTTTGGGCAACTGAGCCATTGTGCGGGTCCCTATTTGGGCACATGCCCAAAGGGCGGCTTTGCTTTGTTTCCCATGTAAACGCCTTGTTTTTTGTTTATTCGCATGTCGAGCGCTGCCTTGCTCAGATGGTGTCTCGGGGAATGGGTTGGAACCTCGAAAACTATCGTTCATGGTGTGCTTGTTTGATTTGAGGGTACCTGAAGCCGAAAGAAAATCCAACTGAAAAATGGGCTATCGCCACAAGAAACTATGGTGTGATTTCTCCCTGTTCTACATTTCTACGGGTAGTTTGAGGTTCCGGGTTGCTGGCGTTTCATTATCCGGTGGTTTGTGGAGTGGGTCTGTAATTTCTTGGGGCGTGGTTCTTGTCGCTTCGGACGACTGAGCCTAGCGTTCCAAGGGCTCGGGAAAGACCATTGTTCAAGCAGGGGGGGGTTCCGGTTGATCGAATGAGGGGCCCCAAGCAATGGACCCTTTGTCAAGCAACGAACGTGCCTGGACCCTCAAACTACCCATTAAGAAAGAAAACTAAACCCGTATATTTCCGGGCAATATACAAGCCACTTCTAAGTTGGGAGGCTTTTTTCCAATTGAACGGCAAGACTTCCCCCCTTCTCGCGGTCTCATTTCACGCCTTTCGCGCCGGTCTCAACACCCGCCGGGCTCACGCGCTTGATCGGCCCCTTCGCCCTGCGGCCGCCTGGCTTCGCGGCAGCGTTCGCTCGCGCCGTTGGAGGCCCTCGGAGCACAAACTTCTCGCCGCGAAGTTGGCCCAGAAGATGTCCAGCGGCTCCGAGCTGCAGGCGCCATCGCGTCGCGTCGCGTCGAGTCTGAAAATCCCATCGAGAGACGCAGGCGGTCCATGGGGGGAAAATGTGGCTGGGGGACATCCGACCATTGAAGTTTCGGAGCGCGGTGAAGAAAATAAATGGCATTTTTTGCAACCAATTTCACTACTGAAAATATGTTCTCATTTTTTCCAGAGGGTTCCCCTACTACAATAGACTACAGAAAAAAAAGAGCAAGGGTACCCTTATTCTACCTGTCTACTGGAGGACCTAGATGCTGAAGATGCAATTCGTTTTGAGGCCAACTCGCAACACTCTCTGAAGGTCTTGATCCCGGTGGGCCCAAAAGCAACATACAACCCGAAGGGCCCAGTGCTTCAGTAGGTAACTCAGGGAAAGATTCAATTTAAAGACTGGAGGTCAGAATGAGGCAAACCCTTGTAACTGATTAAGTGGTGCTTGGAGCCCGACGGAGGTCGAATGAAGGCCAATCAAGGTCGAATTAAGGCCAAATCATGGCAGCCAAACTTGTGGACATGGCAGCTTGGTGAATATGACAACTTGGTAAATAACAAGTTGTCAAAGACTCAACAACCCAACTTTTTCATGAAGCTATTTGGGGGCGTTTAAGAATTCCTCTCCCCAAAGACAAAACAACAGAAAGGAAAGAACAACTACAGACAAACCCAAATACGCCCAACCCAACGATCCTAATCATATGAGTCACTGAACTATCTTGGTCTACTTGGTTCAGGACATCCCTACTTCCCACAAGAACTATGGAACAGTTTCCCTTCAGTCAAATTTGGGTTCCCCTCAGAAAGAGACAAATAAGTTTCCTGGCGGTTTTCCCCTTCACCAACCAAAAGGATCAACTTGAACCCGAAAGAACTACCCAGAAGAAGTTGGTGGATCATTTTGGGGTACAAAAGCCCATTTTAAGTTGGAATTAATGGGTCCGGGTAATCCATGTTGAGAACTCCAGAAGCACAGTTGGATGAAAGATTGCAGAATTCTAACCCACTTTGGTCAAGGTCATACCCTTTGCTTACCATTAAGGGAGTACTGCCATTTGCTTTCACCTGAACTGAGTCCTGCTTATTTTCCACAACGGGTCTTCCCTTCCGACCCCCGCTTTCAACGAAGCAGCCGATTTTTTTCGAGGGTCCAGGCACTTTTTGTTTTTCGATTCCTTCTCTGGTACATGTTTTTTTCCGAAGCCTCCGCTGCCTCGGGCGCTAGTTGCCGGGATCGATCGCTTCTCAGGAGATGCTCGAGGAGTTCCTCGCGGACATCGCGCCCTCGGCGGAGCGCGAGGAGCGCGCGGCGGTGTGCCAACAGCTCTCCAAGCGCCTCGAAAGGACCAAACCGCCACAGCAGAAAAAGGGGCATTGTACTTAGTAAGTGGTTAGTAAGTCAGGTTATAACCCACAAAAGCCATGGTTATAAGTCTCCGTTCTGTGGGTTATAACCTGGCTTACTAACCACTTACCTGACGTTCCCTGCCCCTTCAAGTGGGTGTGGGACGGTGTCGTCCAGGTTTTCCAGCTAGGTGCCCGTTCTCACCCACTTTTTTTGGGGGGAGGGTTCGGGACCCTACTAGAATAGACAACAAATAAAAAAGTTGGTACCCTTATTCTAACCTCTCTACTGGAGGACCTGGCTGGATTTAGTGGGGAATCAGACCACTTTTGGAGGGGACCATCCGCATATTGATAAAGCGGTGTTGATAACTGTGGCGGCAATATTACAAGGGCATCCCCTCTTGACTGTATATGGGGGGTAGTCTTTGGGAGGCGCTTTTTTGTTGTATCACAGATGTGGTCATCTACTTGCCCATCTACCCTCAGTGGATCCCAGGCACGCCAGAACTGAACCCTCAAAGTATCCATATAAAATGGGGCAAGAACCAAATTGTAAGGGACATTTTGAAGAAGCAGCATCTACTTGCGTTTACCTTGCAACCGTTGTTATATTGGGACGATCTCCCCAGTTTTCCCAGTTATAACCATGGTTGCAACCTACTAAGTTAAAGTTGGTTAAACATCCAAGTACCCTCCCCAGTGGATCCCAGTTGCCAGCAAAGTCGGCAACCCCTCGTCATTTTGAATTTGTGGTGGTTTTTTCAAAGGGTAGCAAGCCCCTGGCTACCTACTATATAGGTACTCGGATGAACTCACTGGACTCTTTCCAATCATGGAAGTGGGTGGGCCTTCCCCACAAGGAAAGGTTTCGTCTTCTAAGGCCCTCCGATCGTCAGCTTCCGTGATTGTTGGAGGGTAGCAGGTGGTGAAGGCAGACATTTTGAGGGAGCCAAAGCTATCCAAGCTTGATTTTGAAAGAGATCGTTTTGAAAGGAGCTAGGAGTTCTGTCAGGATATGGTGGTTGCTGGTTGCTGCACTTGCCCAAAGCGAATCGATCTTTCACCTGGTGTTTTTCCACGTTGGTTCCATGCTTGGCCAAGGCCCGAACATGTGAACCTAACTTAACCTTTTTTTGGAGGGTCCTGGAGCCTTTATATATGCAGGCCCTATGAGCAAGTGAGTTGCTTATGCCGACTCTAACTCGGTTTCTTGGAAAATGGTGTCCATATCCCCAAGCCACCGCTGTCCAGGAAGTTGTGGGATACTACTGGAAAAAAAACTTGGCACACAACGTCGGACTCAAAAGCAATGGCCAATGCAAAACGAGAGAACGTCTTAAACTCTGAAACAATTTCGCCTGCAAATACGATTGTTGGAGACTCTGGAAATGCCCGGACGAGTCGTAGGGACTTCGCGTGCCCAGCTGAGCTGTTAAACTACTCATATACCAGTTTCTAAGGGTCATTTTGAGCGTCCAAGTTGTTGAATGGGTGTGAAGGACCGACGCGTTGCTCCCCTTTTTTGCCATTTGTGTTTTGGAGGGGGTGTTCCTTTTTCCCTTGCGGAGAGTCCCGAATATTTTTCCATCAAGGGCCTCGGTCTGGGTTCAAGACCACCCAAATGATGGTCCTTGGACAGACTTGGAAGCTCGTAGTCCACACACCAAACCTTTCTTGGTTGCTCCTTTCAAAACATAGAATTGCCGATTAAACACAAGTGAAGGCCACGTGTTCTACACTGGACACCCGCTTCTGTTGAGAATACTCTCCCAGTCAACCTGGAGTGTTCCCGTTTGTCCTTTGGAAATGTTTGTGGTTGCTCTTGCAGGGAGTTCCCTGAAACTTGAAACCATTGGTGTTCCTTTGGGAACATAGATCATGGTAGATGATGAAACCAGGTCAACCAGGAAATGGCCATCCTTGTTTCGACCAAAACAACCCCCTGAACCCCAAACCCTGAACCAAGAAGGACGCCTATGCTTTAAACAATCCATGAAGTTCACTTCAACGAGCTGCCCCTTCCCTCGGGTCCAGGCCGCATTTGGATTTCACTTCCATAACTTTAAGTGGCAACCAGAAGTTCAAGGATGTTCAAGGGAGTTTTGGACGGTTTTGGTGCAAACACCAGAAGTTCAAGGGCGTGGATGGATCCAGGTATCCAAGTTCCTTTTTTGGGTCCAGCTGCCTTGATTGGTTGCAAGCAGACCAACCGACTCAACCACCTAACCCATGGAAAGTGACGGTACTTGTTCCTCGCAGTACTTCGGGCATCCACTGCACATGGCGCACAAAAAGGGAAGATTAATCAACTCGTCCCATACTTAGGGGAGTGTTCCCTCCAAAAGTGGCCTGAATTTTCACTAAAACTAAGGACACCCCCCTTGTTAATCAACCAGGGTTTATTGATCCGGGGCTAACATTACACCGGACATATTCTCAGAAATGGCCTGCGCGACTCTCGGGAGGTTCGGCTCCAAGCTGCAGACCTTCGAGAAGAGCGGCCAGATCTATGCCGAGGGCGCGACGGCCAAGTACATCACCTACGTGGTGTCAGGCGCGTCGACTTCACGGCGTCAGGTGTCCTTTTGATCGGTCAGATTGGCTAGAAAATCGAGTTCCACTGGTTTGGATGGCGTGTTTATTCCATTTGCCAGGGAAACCCATCGATTTTTCCAAAAGGCCACCTATGCACACGTCTCGGATTCGTGGCCTGCTGTGTTTCAGGCGAAAACGAAACGATTCGTGGCCTGATTCGTGAGGTTTCTTTGTGAGGCCCCCGGTCCGGCTGGCTGAACCCTCAAACTACACAGAAAAAGGGAATTCACCAGTCATCAGTTTGGGTTGCGAGAACTAGTTGTTGAGGGAGTTTTGAGGGTTCAGGTAGAGAATGGTCCGATAGATCTAGGGGACTGGTTCACCATCATCCATCCCCTGATGTCGGACCTGAGTGATAGCTCGATGGAATGGTGGGACCTACTCTTAAAGGAGGCCCGCGAGTGGTACGAGGAGTACATGAAGGAGATCCCGCTGAATAGGGTCAACATGGTGCCCAAGACGCCTGAGGTGTTGGGGGTACGGAAATGGAGTCGGTTGGAAAGGCGGGCAGCTTCGCTCATCATCCAGGCGGTTCCGGAGACAGTGAGAGACGAGATGATCGCCACGAATACGGTGTCGGCCTACGGGGCGATCTGTAGGCTTCTGGTAGTGTATCAACCAGGAGGCCTTGGAGAAAAAGGAGTGGTCCTACGGGCGTTGGAGGAGCCGGTGGAAGCTGCTACGATCGCGGAGGCGCTCAAGAGTTTGAGAAAGTGGCTGAGGTGGAGGCGGCGGGCGAGCAAGATGAACTTGGCGTTGCCAGACCCCACGGTGATGATGAGGGGCCTCAGCAAGATGATTCGGAAAGTGGTGGAGACGAACCGGGAGCTGACGTTCCGGATTTCCCTTGCCCGGAACACGCTGCGGGTGGACAGCGTGCCGACGCATGGAACGGTGCAGCAGTTCGCGGAGCATGTCTTGGCCGAACTGGAACAGAGCAGCCAGGGGGGTGAGAGAAAGGTGACAAAACCCGTGGACGCCAAGATCCGGAAGGTCGAGACAGAGAAGGAGCAGGGGACGGGACGTAGAGACCTAGTTTGCAGGTTCTACATGAAGGACACCGGCTGCAGAAAGGGCCGGAGTTGCGAGTGGCAGCATCCCACGGATGAGACCGCAAGAGGACGCTGCTGGGAGTGTGGATCAGTGGAACACATGAGGAAAGACTGCCCCAGAAAGCAGAAGCCGACATCACCTGAGAAGCCGGCGGCTGTGAGAAGGGTGGCCCAGGAAAACGACGTGGCGACGACACCGGCTTCGGCACCCTCACCCAAGAAGGAGGAGATCAAGCCGACCCGGGAGAAGGAAACGGTGGTGGAAGATTCGAGGAAAGACGAATCTATGGGTGGGGTGTTGCAGGAAGCAGCAAAGATGCTACGGAGCCTCAACGCCTCGCAGGGAGTCAAGAAGGTGGACGAGAGAAACGACCGCTTGGACGACCTGCAGAAACAGTTGAATGGGTTGAGATCTGGGTCTCTCAAAAGGGCCCAGGTAAACGCTCAGGGGAGGTGGAGTGATGGTGGGCTACTGGACTCGGGAGCTACGCAACGCATCCTCTACGTGCCCGGCAAGAAGGTGAAGACATCAAAAATCTGGACGAGATCGATGTTGCCCTGGCCGGAGGAGAGATGAAAGTCATGCGGATCACTGAGGGAGGCATCATCGTCCAGGAGAACGAGGGCGTGGGCTCCATCATTCCGTTGGGTCTGCTGGTGGAAAGGTTGCACTGCGTGGTGACGTGGGATGGGGATGAATGCCGCGTGGTACATCCAGAGCTGGGAGCTTTGCGGACTCACATGGAGGATGGATGCCCCTATGTGACCCAGCGGACGGCGACGAAGTTGCTCGAGGAGCTTGAGAAAAAGGGGAAGGAGAAAAGGAAGGGCCGGATTAGCGAAGTAAAGCTAAAGAAGGTCCTGGACTGGGAAACGGTCAGAAAGGTGGTGGAACTACATCCTGCGTTTCGTGACCTACCGGAGGAGGTGCGAAGGAAGGTTCTGGTGGAGCCGGCGGAAACATTGCGGGCAATCCCATGGAGTCGGAGACGGAGAAGGTCCTTGGAGCAGAAAGGCCGGAAAGCCATCCTGCACCTATACGCGGGACCCCGTGAAGGATACACCCTGGAAAGGGCGGTGAAGGAGCTTGGAGGCGACCACATGGACGTCTTGGAGATTGATTTGCAGCGTGGGCCGGAGCACGACATGATGTCGGATGAGCTCTATGCAGCCCTGCTGCGGGGCGCGTTGGATTCCCGTTTCGATGCGGTGCGGACCGAATTGCCGGACCAGGAGTGTGCTCCGACATTATCCACTACCTGGCGGTGGTCCACGACCGGTAAGGTCACCGGAAGAGCCGTTTGGGAGGAGCGACCTCACGACGCATGAGGACGACGTGATGATGTGGCGGATGTTGGCCATCTACCTGGTAGCGGAAGAAGCGCGGAATGCGAAGGGAGGCCCACAGGTTGGCTTCGTGTTGGAGCAGCCGGCGGATCCCAGGAAGTACATGCCTGGATGCCCGACCTTTTGGGGGACGACCCAGTGGGAAGCATTTGAGGAGATGGAAGGCATGGCCGAGTACGAGTTTTACCAGGGGGACTTCGGAGGAGCAGCACCAAAGCCGACGACATTGGGGACCAACCTTTACATCGACCTGCCTGAGAGAAGGGTGACAGGGCTGGTGTCGAGAGCCCGAATGGAAGAGGTGGACCTCAGAGACTCGAAGAACCTCGCAAGGTGGGCCCCAGGACTCATGAGAGAAGTGGCGAGAGCGATTCTGACGCAGGTCAGGAAGCAGGTGGTGAAGCTGCGGAAGCTGAGTTGGCAGGAGCACATCGCGGCGGGACATTGCCCGATGAGGAGGGACTGCCGAGTTTGTCAGGAGGCTAGCGGTCAAGACCGACCCCATAGGAGGATCAAGCACAAGCACGCCTACTGCCTTTCGTTGGATTTGGCCGGACCGCTGAAGAAGGGAAGAGACATCGACGGGCGGAGCTGCAAGTACATGCTTGTGGGCGCGTACACATGGCCGAAGAACCCGCTGAAGTCTGAGGAGATCCCGGAGAAGGAACGAGATGGAGGTGGAGAAGCTGGCAAGGCGAAGGGCCTGGAGGAGGTCAAGAAACCGGACCAACCCGGGCAACGACCGGAGGACTACTGGACCACCAGCGCCAACGGCAAGTACGTGATCAGGGTGCACAAGAGCCACCGGAAGGTAAGGTTCTTCCCTGACGATGTTCCAGGATGTCCAGTGCCTGTGGAGCGACTACGGGGACGGAGGAGGACCATAGCACGGACAACTAAAGATGGTCCGCTGAAGATGTTCATGGACGACTGGAGGAATGCCGAAAAGACGGAAAAGGTCTTTGAGGACGAGAGCCGATGGGCCGGGCGGACGATCTTCCAGCTAGAGGGCCCGGAGGAGGAAGAGCCTCAAGAAGAAGAGAAGGAAGAAGGAGACCTTCATGATCCGGCTGATCCAGAACCCCCAGAATGGATCTGGGACTTCGAGCTGGAGGAGTTGGTCGGAGAACAGGAAGATGAAGAGATGGAAGAAGGCGACCTGGACGAGTACGAAGAGGATGAGGAGAAGAGAGAGGAGCCGCTGGAGATTGAAATCCACACGCTGGTAGTGCCTCTCTCGACGAAAGGAGGCAAAGAAGTTTTGGACGCCATACAGACGATGTATCTGGAACTGAAGCGCCAAGGTTTTCCAGCGGCGCGATTGCATAGCGACAGGGGCAAGGAGTTCATGAACCATGCCTTGCGCCGGTGGTGCTTCAACCGGGACATCGCGAAGACGAGTACGGCGGCAGACGATTGAAGATCAAACGGGCGAGCAGAAGTGGCCATCAAGCACTTGAAGTCAAGATGAGGAGAGTGCTCTTTGCAGCCGAGGTGGATGGACAGTGGTGGCCAGCTGCAGCTAGGTATGTGGTGGAGAAGGATAAGAGAACAAGGCAGAGAAAAGAGGGCACGATACCCAGAGGTGATGGTGAAGAAAAGGAAGTGGAAGTTGGGCACGTCAAGGGGAAGTATTTGGCCCTGGTGGTGGACGTACCGAACGGTCACGCTGTGATGAGAGAGGATGGAACAGTCCAGGTGGCTGCCTATGTGCTGCACCACTGGAAACCTCTCCCGGAGCCAGTGGACGGGTGGCAATTCGTGGAAAGGAGAGGTGATGAGGAGAAGAGCGCGAGCCGGAGGAACCCTATCGTGTCCGGAGGAGGATAACAGATAAGACCCAGAAGAAGGTGTTGGAAGACGAAGGGGTTCTGGTGAGGTTGCGGGCGCTCAGATCCACAATAGAGGAGGAAGAGAAGGCGGTGACGAACGACGAGCCGGAGGTGATGGACATTGTGGTGAAAGCCCTAGAAGGTTTGAAGAAGGAAGAAGAGGAGTTGAGGAGCAGCACAGAGGTGGAAAAAGACGAGGAGCAGATACTCCAGACCAAGATCGTCAGTGCCAAGGAGGTGGAGATGAACCTGGAGGATTGGAAAGCACCCATGAAGAAGGAGCTGGACACCATCGTGGAGGAAAAGGGTGCAATCACCAGGCTCAACCCGGCATCGGCGAGGGAGCTGCTGGAGAACAACCCATGGGTGCAAGTACTACCCGGGAAGGGGGTGTTCACAATCAAACCAGGAAGGAAGCGTAAGTGTTGACTGGTGGTGTGCGGCAACTACGGGGAGTCTCACGAGGCCATGCCGCTCTTCGCGGGGGGCACGGACGTGGTGGCTTTGCGGTTGGCGTTGAAGGAGGCGGCGGTTCGCGGGTGGCAAGGAGGCACAGTGGACGTGAAAGGAGCCTTCCTGAATGCCCCGCTGCAGGCAGTTGACCAGGAAGGAGAGCTGACGGTGGCCATGCGACTTACTGGTCCGGATGGGGTTGATACTCAAAGGGGAGCTGTGGATCGTCAACAAGGCAATGTACGGCCTACGGCAGAGTCCGAGGTGCTGGTCGGACTACCGGGACGACGAGATGAGGAGGTGGAGAATCAGCTATGGCAAGCGTTGGCTGAAGTTGGAGCAGATGAGGAGCGAACCGAATCTGTGGCTGGTGAAGAAGGTAGAGGACGACTTGAATCCGGAGGAGCTGGTCGGCCTGCTACTACCAGTCTACGTGGACGACTTCATGCCGTTAGGCGTGGAAGGAGTGCCTCGAGGAAGCCCTCATGGAGAAGATCAAGGGCACGTGGGAATCATCAGAGGAGAGCTGGTTCGGCAAGGAGCCGGTAAGGTTCTGCGGGGTGAACATCTCTGTGACGGAGCAGGGGATCACCTTGGACCAGATGGACTACATCAAGGAGATCATCGATCGGAACAATATCACTGGCAAGTCGGTGATCCCCATGAGCAAGGAGTGCAGCGAGCCAGAGGCAGAGATCGGGATTACGGCGGAGGAGATTCAGACGGGTCAGCGCCTGGTGGGCGAGTTGATTTGGCTGGTCACCCGGAGTAGACCTGACCTGGCCTACGTGGTTTCGAGAATGTCGTTCGTGTCCAAGGCTCCACGATGGGTGCAGAGAACCGCGACCCAAACACTGCGGTACCTCAACGCGACCAAGACGGAGGGCATCCTGCTGGACAAGGACATGGGGGAGGACACAGATGGAAGAAAGAGTAGAGGAGCGGGCTTGGAGGTGATCACGGATGCGAGCTTCGCGCCGGGCGGCGAGATTAGCCATGGCTGTGTAATGGCAGGGATCAATGCTGGCGTGGAGATCTTCGAGGCAGAGCTTCCCTACGCTGTCGACAGCCGAGTCCGAGCTGATGGAGATGATAGAGGGAATGGTTCTTGGGGACTCGGTAGACGCGTTGATCCAGGAGATCAAGACGGAGATGGACTATTCGCGGACGTTGATTGGGGACAACCAAGCGGCGGTCTCGCTGTGCACAGGAGATGCTGGATCGTGGCGGACGCGGCATCTTCGTCTGAGAGCGTTCTATGTGAGATGGAGAGTGCAGATGGGGGACTGGCGGATAGTGCATCGGATGGGCGCTAATCTGGTCGCCGACATGGGCACGAAGTGTCTGCCAGGAACTCGCCTACGTGATCTGCGCAAGATGGCAGGTTTGGTGGAGATTGGAGCACCAAAGCCAGAAGAAGGTGGAAAAAGGAAAGGCAGCGTTGGCCATTTTGGCATGTTGCATGCAAGTCCAGGCAGTGGCGGCAAAAGAGGAGAAAGTCGAGGAAGAAGATCAGGGAGACTACAACGCCCTGGTCGGCTTCGGCATCCTGGTGGCCCTCTTCACGGCTCTGGCAATCAAGGTGGCGGCGATGGTGAAAGAGGCATGCGAAGCAGAGGGGAATATGCATCTATAAGGGCGATGCGTGGACACAACAAGATGCCGGCGGGTGACGAGGAAGAGGAGGCGGAAGAAGAGTCTTCATCGTCGTCGAGAGCATCGGCATCAACTACAAGGAGAAGATCCACTACTACCGGAGGTGGCGGAGGGTCGGAAGCATTGGGTGATAGATCAAAAGCAGCACCAGAGGCTATGAGGAGGCCGTTGGAGAAAGGAAAGGGTGGAATCGGCTCTGGAAAAGGAAAAGGGAAGCCGATCGTCAATGCACCATGGAGGAGAGATTATGCGAGGAGACACCCCGCTCCGCCTTGGAGGAGGGAGAACCAACCGCCAGCAGATGATCAAGAGCGGCAACTGGTCCAGATCGAGGAAGAGGTGCACAACGAAAGGTGGGATATTCCGGACGAAGAGCTGTTCTTCAACAAGAAGGACAGGATCGCACACCACACCAGAGAGTGCGCCGGAAGTCGAGCAGAGGCAAGGTATGTCTGCACATGGTGCTTCGCACAGGAGCTCCGGATGCAAGACGTAGAAGAGGAGCATTCGGTCCCCGTCATCGTGAGGGACTGGAAGCCGGTGCTCACCACAGACTACGGGGTCAGGTACCATTACTCCCTGAACTGCCCCACTTTGGCGGCAACACGGAGGTGGGATGCCTTCGACCGGTGCCGACGATGCGCCGGAGTCAGAGGGAGTGATCGCCAGGATCCCGGGGTGATGACCTACATCGAGGACGGCTTGAGCTGAGAGGTGGAACCGGTAGCGCAGGTGCAAGCCTAACGGATTGTACCTGGGAGGAGTGTGAACGATAGGGGTTCATGTATAGGCAATCAAACCATGCACAATGGAGCCGTTTTTGTGTCGAGGAAAGGTACCGCTTCTGAATAGCGGCACCACAATCATAATTTACTCAGACAACATGCAATCAGCCTCAAACAAATATACATATATATATATATATATAAATATGTTTAATCACCCCCCCCCTTCCCCCCAATTCCACTGCCTAAAGCAATTGTCCCACTCAACATACGTGAATGGTGTGGCAGACGGGCGGTTTTTTGTTTTTTGTTTTTACCAGATGTTTTGTGTGTTTTCTTCGGTGGCCTTTGACACCACTTCTCAGGTCGCCCTTCCTTTGCATTGGTGGTTTAATTTTAACCCCAGCCCACACCTCCACCCACGAATCCAAACCACCACCTCGAGGGGAGCAGAACCTGAAAACGAGTTCCAATCAAAAAGGACACACCTTTCTCCTCTCCTCCACTTGTTGTCTCTTTTTCAGCGCTTATTCCGGTTGACAGGGACTTCAAGGGGAAGCCGCCGTTCCAACCCCATGCGGCAGCAAGCGACGTGTTTGTTCCTTTTTTCACGGCGAGGTTCGGTGAACATCTACCAAAGCATCAGCGCAGACGAGGCAGGAGACAGACACCTAAGAAACCCAACGGAATGATTCGATTACCCCGCGAATTCTTGGTGGCTCCCGAAGGCCGTCCGGCTCCTTAGCTTTTTAGCTTTTTAGTGTTTAGTGGGGTTTTCCATTTAGCCCACTAAAAGTTAAACTTTTAGCGGGGATCTGAGGACAGCTCAGGAATGATTCGATTACCCCGTAAATGTTGCGATAGCAATGAGACCATGAGTCGAGTGAACTGTTCACATGCCGATCATTTGGTTGAAGCACTAGCAGTTCAGTAAAGCTGGCAAATTAAATCATTTGACACGCAGACACACACACAGACACACAGACACACAGACACACAGACACGCAGACACACAGACGCACACACATTATTGATATTATGTTTTTCAAGTGTGTTCAATTCCTTGAATATCCCTTGGATGTGGAGGCTATAGTTGGAACGAATCTGGCCAACCTGCAAAGCCAAAGAGAATGGACATTGGTTTCACGCGGCGTGGATGTTCAACGTAGCAAGTAGGTTGCAACCATGATTATATGTAAACCAACTGGGGTTGTTCATAATTGGTTGCCTCAGTTGCCTCACTCATAATTGTGGTGACAACCTTCTTGCCAAGGTTGAACATGCAAGAAAAGCGAAGGTAACCCTTTCTGTTTCCCACAGAGAATTCAGGCTTGCATGCCGAGTCTGAGGATGCGGGGCGAGGGGGATTTGTCTGAGCGGCCCCACAAACCAGCCCCCCATGTCTCATTTCGGAACTGACTGTTTTCTAGGGTCGCTGTCATCCCATTCACATGACAAAGAAACCTGGCAACGAAAAGTTGGAAGCTTGTCAACTTACCTGAGTGAAGTAACGGACGATCCCAGCCATAAATAGTTGCTTTCGCCGTCGCTATGGGGTTGGGTCTTTAGACTTTAACTTTTTGGGAAATGAAGGGGTTTTCCACTAAACCCCGAAAAGTTAAACTTTTTGCAGCGGGGTCAACAGCAACCAAGTTCCTTACATGGCTCTGGGCCAATCATTTTAACACCGGGTTTTGAGCAAGTGACTCTGGCGCTTGCCTCTGTCTCTTAAGACTCTCAAAGGAAACCCTTTCTGTGGGCTAACTGATGCAAAGGTGAGTTAGTTTTCCGGCAAGAGAAAAACGTTTCATGGGCTGTCAAATTTGGCGGGACATGTAAACATGCCAACCTGAAAAGGGTACCCTACAAAATGCCTGGACCCTCAACATTTATATATACATACTTGAACATGGGTTATTGCAATTCAACATTGTGGTTGGTGAATGCCCTGTTTTAATCTGTTTTATGGGTAGTTTGAGGGTCCAGTTGGCTGGTTACCTACTACAGTGGCTTGCCTGGGATCCACTGGAGAACCCAGCGTCGATGAATCTGTTGGGCAAAGCTGAGATGGGAACGAAAAGAATACGGGGCCGTGTGGACATGTTCATTGGGGAGAACACATTTGGGTGTGGCTCAAAATTTAAACAGGAGGGGTTACGCAGGTTTTGGTCCATGTTTCCACTTAACAGGGTTCCATTTCGGTATCGGTCTTTTGAGCCACATCCATTTTTAAGTTGGATTGGTTAGCCTTTAGGAAGTTGGTTGACGTCTTCGGGCCCATCCATGGAGGGAAGTTAGGCAACTTCGGCCTTGGCTTTCGCTTGCCGAAGCGCCCAACACCCATTCTTGCCTTGACCTCAGACTTCTCAACCCCTGTGTAGCAATATGGGGTTGGTTCCCCTCCAAAAGCGGTCTGAATCCCCACCGAACCCAGGGAGAAGCACCCGGCTATTAAAAGGGGTTAGTACTGTGGATGGACGAAATCGATTTCGCACCACCTAACAAACCCTGGAATGAGTCGGTTCCCCTGTAAATACCAACAAGAAATGGTTTCAACCATGGTTTCAATGTGGTGCAGGATTTTGTCCATCCACAGTATGGGGTCAACACTACTGACATGTGCCTTTTGGCTTTGGTGTGCAGCTCTTGTAAGCAAGTGGTGGTTCCAGGCCATGTCAAGAATCAAACGGGCGGTTCTCGCGCCTTTGGACATTTTCGACCCAACCTTTTCAGGTTTTGCTTGTGGTTCAATAAGGCCTTAGTTGGTTTAAACTGAACTTAATATGTTTTTAGGTTCTTGGGGTAGAGTTGTGGGAATGAGGGGTGTCCCACTTCGACACACGAGACTCGCACCCTTTAGATGCACAATTTGTCATTTGCAAGTTCCTCTATCACATAAATGGTTGCGAGCAAGTCCCACGCTGCTTCGGGGCATTTCCGGACTCAACTTACGTATGGTGTTATGCATTTGCCTGTTCGATTTTTCGTCATGCTCCCTTTCAACCACTAGAAAAAACAGACACCCGTTTCATGGTTCCCGGTCCAGCCATGTTAGCTGATTATCAAGATGCATGCAACAAGTGAGATTGTCGTTTTTGAAAGTACCCCGTTACCAAAGGAACGCAATATGGTGGGTCCCCTCGAAGACACCTCCAAGTTATTGCTGGTGCGATAGCTAGGGAAGGACCGGACCCCCGTGTGTTGGGAATGAACCGGTTTTGGGGATTCCCGAATAAAGGAAGCTACCAGTGGGATGTTTCTTTTCCTGTGGGATCATTGCAATTCTGATTCCCTGCCTATCAAACCGATCGCAAGGTTCACGTTTGGCATGTCTTGCAGATTAGATCCCTTTGGCCCGTCCGATCGTTTGGGGTGAGGCCTTGGCCTACAAGCTGCCACGGCACCATCTGAGCCTCGGCGCTCTCCATTTTTCAAATTAACGTGGTCTTTTGCATTTGCTGCAATGAGTATGTGTTCATTAAAGCCCCGGTGGATTTTAAAGGGAAACAATAATTTCGCTACTGAACATATGAGTTTTTCCGGCGGCTTTTGCAAGCCATTTCTCTTGGTGCTTCCGAGCCATCCGCTGCCTCAGCTCGTGACCTGTTTCTGGTTTAGTGCTGGTTTCCATTCAGCCCGCAAGTCAAAGAATTAGCAGACCTGAAAACGGGCCCAGCTTTGATCCCCACTAGGTCCCCCCAGCAATTGCCCTTTTGCCGTTTCTTTTTTGGGGGAGGGACCCTGTGAGCGTTGGGTTTTTGCACACACCTAGTTTTGCGGCATTCTGGCCAACACCGAAAAAACTTGAGAGGTTTGGGGGAGGCTTCCCCTACAATATAGACTACAGGAAAAAGCTGGTAGCCTTATTCTATCCTCTCTACTGGAGGACCTAGCCAAGAATCACTTCATGGCCCAGTTGCCCAGATTTCGCCAGGGAGTTGGTTCCCAAGGGAAGTGGAATCACTGCGTGGGTTTTGAGATAGAACCGAGTAGGCGACCTGAACGTGAAAGAACTACCCATATAAGATTTGGAATTCACCAATTAACCATATTTTGGGGTAATGGCCCATTTATCAGTAAGGAAATTTCGAGGCTCCATTTCCCACTCCAACTTCCTAATCATGGCTTCTCAATTAGGTGTGGCTCAAAATTAAACAGGAGGGGCTGGCTCCGCAGGTTTGGGTTTCCATGTTTCCACTTACCGATCGGGCAACCCATTTTGGGTTAGCCGGCTTTTTGAATTCGCCCCAGCCAATTGTGGGGCTTCGCCGACTCGAATCGTCTTTCGGTGGGACACCAGGTCCAGGGACGTGGATAGAGGAAACCAACAGGCCAAGTGGACCTCGTTCGAAGCGCAGAATGGAGACCATGGCCGAACTGTGGATGGTCGCGAAACCCTTCCCCCCCGCGCCCCCAGGAAACCCTGGAATGAATTGAATCCTGTGCAAGTATATCAAACAAACAATGGTTGAAAAACCATGCATGGTTCTTAGGTGGTGCAAAAAAAGGGACTTCGTCATTTAGAGGAAGGGAACGTAGAATCAATGGATCCTTTTTCGAGCAAATATATGCGCTGGAGCCCCACCCTTTCATAAAGGCCCACGGTACAGACTTGCCCGGTAGAAAGGCTGCACTGCCGGCTTTGGCAATTTGAGCCACAATGAGGACCACACCATAGATATCAGTCCAATGTACTAGGGCTTCGTATCATGTGTTTTTGCACGGCGACAAGCAACAACAGGGCAGCCCCAAAAAGAGTTGTTTCTACCCAACAAGAAAGCCACCCAACAAAAAACCGCTATTTTAAAAACCTCCCCTTTTTTGTTGGGGGGGGACCCCCTTCGGGTGGTTGAAAAAGGGGTTTCCCAAGGCAACACAGACCTCGCCATGTTCGGGTCCTCCGTTCCTTTGGAGCTTCCTTTTGAACCAACCACGGAAAGCGCACCGAGCCTCAAGGGACGTGCTGCCCCAACAGCCCCCGGGAGAAGCCGAGATTTCCCCCTGGAAACATGACGCCAGAGGAAGCTCGCTGGATCCGTGTGTTTTTTTTTTGGTTGCAACGACTGGTTAAACTACTCTTGGGGAGACATGCAGGGCACCCTGTTTTTGTCAACACAACTTGGGGATCCCGCACAATTCGCGGTTTCCCTTAAACCAAGCCCAAACGGAGTACCAAGCATCAAAACGACATGCCCCCATGTGACTCTTGGGGGATCCCCTTTTCTTCCTTAAGGGCCAATTTTGGAGGTTGGAGTCTTCTTCCAACCCTTGAACGCATGGGGTCATGACCCCGTTCTTTTGAGTAACCCCATGTTCGTTTTGGATGAGACTCCCATCCATTTGCCTTGCTAAACCAAGGGGTTTCCCCTATTGAGGATTATTTTTGGGTAGAAGGGTTCAGGAAGAGGATCCATGTTTGGAGCTTGCTTGGGAAACAACCTTTTACCAGGTTTCTTTGTTTCTATTTTGACCCTGCGGTTCAGTTACCACCATCAAGGCAATGGTTCAGAAAACTGCCACTGTTTAAGAAGTTTCATCATTGAATTGGGTGTGTCCTCTTGTGGGGTCCCCCCCAAATGGGTGGGGTTTCCTTTTGCTTCCCTTTAAAGCCCCTGAGTTTGGGTCCCCAAGGCTTTTTTCTTTTTTAGGGCAAGTGGAGCTGCAGGGTTCGGTGGTTTGGATTTGTTCGGCCGAGTCAAGCGTGCGGTGGTTCCCTGGGTTGCCGTTCCAACTTACTTGGCGAATCGAATCGAACACCCTGGAGACGCCAATCTCAGGTATCATTTAGTCGGTTTGCACACCGAGTTCTTGTGGGTAAATGGGAACCCACCATTTTGGGGGCGATCTACTGTAACCTTACACAAAAAACACTGAACCCTCAAGCTATACCCATACAAAAGTTGTACTCACCAACTCCATCATTTGGGACAGGCAATGGCAGCCTTTTTTGGTTGGAAAAATAACATTGGGTCAAGGTGGTTGGTCTGTTTTTTGTTTTGGTGGAGTTGGTACCCTTTTTGGGTTTGGTGAAAGGGAAGCCAGAAAGAAACTCATCTCATTTGGGCTCAACCTGACCCGAAATTCCAACTTAAAACCGGTTCGTGGCAACCAAGCATCATGCAACTTGCAATTTTCCAATTTTTGTGGGTAGCTCTTTCGGGTAAAACGGCACACGCATTTAGATGTTTCCCTCATGGACATGGAAATTTTGGTCCTCTTTATTGGGGCTGGTGATAGGGAACCAAAAGGAAAACCTATTTCCCGCACTTCCAACTTTTAAACTTGTTTATTTCCCGCAACATCATGGGGCAACAACCCTTTTTTTTGTTGGAATTTGGAGGATCCACACCCATTTAGAGCCAAAAAACAACGCGCAACCTGACTCGACATTCCAGCTTAACGCTGGGTTATTGCAACCCAAAGTTCTGCAATTGGCGAAATCCCCACCCTTTTTGGTGGGTTCTTTTGGGTCCAGGTACCTCCAAACAAGACACATCTAAGTGGGGAAGCTACGTAGTTTCATTTTACTTGGTGGCTCCCAGCCGTCCGGTTCCTCAACTGTTTAGCTTTTTAGTGTTTGGTGGGGGTTTCCATTTAGCCCAATAAAAGTTAAACCTTTAGCAGGGGATCAGTTAGGACAGCTCAGTTCAAAGTTGAAAGATGTTGATTGGGTCCAGGCGCTTCCGCCCCATACATAGAGCCCCATCAACTCTTTGGTGCATTTTGCCAAGGGATGTTAGGACTTTTACTTTTTGCCAAATGGGTGTCCGAATTACACCACTCAAAGTTAGTCACTTTTAGCAGGGGAGCAGGTGGCGCAACCGAGTTAAGGCCTGATGTGAATCACTGGCAACTTTGCGCAGTTTGTTATTTTGAGGGAATATTTGTTTGGTGTCAAAGGGCATTCTAAAGGAGCACCACCTTTATAGAATTACCCGGATTTTCATGGATACCCATTGGTACTTCGACAGCAGCCGAGTAACTCTCGAAGGAACCCCCAACTCTTGGCCCCCATTCAGAAAGCCCAACATCGCACCTCCCCCCCCCCCTCCCCCCAAGTTCAGAGCAGGGGGGGTCTTTTTGCCACCTGTGGAAAAATGATCGACCCCTTTGTGAAGGATTCTTTTTTTTGAGGGGTTCGCCCATTTTCGCGCAGGTGGCAAAAAGACCGCCCTGGTTCAGCGCGCGCCCTCCGAACTGCTTAAAGGGGCATTGTACTTAGTAAGTGGTTAGTAAGTCAGGTTATGTGGGTTCTCTCACCTGGCTTACTAACCACTTACCTGACGTACCCGATGGCCCCTTCAAGTGGGCCAGTGAGCCGAGGAACGGCCAGAAGGGCGACGCCTTCGCCTTCGAGGAGGAGATCGACGTGCGGGTGAGGTGTTTGACCCGGGGCGCCCTGCTGGGGGCCACGGAGTTCGGGGCCTACTGCAGCCCCTCGGATGGGCAAAGCGTTTTTTCTTCTTCTTCTTCTTTTATTTATGTATTTTTAGTATTACTATATTATTATTTATTATGTATTTGTTCAATAAATAATAATATTACTATTATTAGTTTTTTGGACCCCATATCAATAAACCCCTGTTTATGAATACCTGGACCAATTCAGGGGAGCTTGTTTTAGAATATCAATCAACTAGACTAGGTCCCCCAGCTAGGCGCCCTTTCACCGTTTCTTTTTTTTGGAGGGTTCGGGTTCTCCTACTAAAATAGACTTCAAAAAAGGGTAGCCTTATTCTAACCGAGAGGACCTAGGGCCAAACCCCCGACATTTTTGGAGCTTCTGGTGGATTTGGTCCATATTTTGTTTCAAGGTTCCAAAAGGTGAACCTTTTTGGCCCCACGTGGGCCACGTCCTCAACACCCGAAGGTTGGTAAGGGACAATCCCCTGGCCATAAATAGCTGCGGATATCCGCTTTCTTAATTCTTGAAGCATGGTTCTTGGTAGGCCATTTTAGTACCGGGTTCTGATTGTGCCTCACGTGGGCCCAAAAAAACGACTTTTCTGGAGCTTTTGGTGGATTTGGTCCATATTTAATCAAGGTTAGCCTTTTTTCTGTTGGGCCAAAGGGCCCGAATTCCAAGCTGTTTGGGTGCCTGAACCCGAAAGAACCACCCATAAAAAGGGGGAACATTCACGAACGGACCATAATGTTTGGTTGCAACAGTTTCCGTGTTTCAGTGGGAATTGGGAGGGTCCAGGTGGATGTTCAATGTTGACCCCATTGAACAACAAAAACTGTTCATGAATACCTGGACCAATTCAGGGAACTCGTTTTAGAATACCGATCAACTAGACTAGGCCCCCCACTAGTGCCCGTTTACCCTTTTTGGGGGGAGGGTTCCCCTACTAAAATAGACTACAGAAAAAAGGGTACCCATATTCTAACCTCTCTACTGGACAACCTAGTAGAGGTTCTCTTTGATTTGTTCCATATTTAGTCAAGGGTTCCAGAAGATTAAAATTTGTTGGGGGAGCCAAGCCACAAGTGTCCAAGCCCGTGCCTGAACCCGAAAGAACTACCCAGAACTTGGTGGCTCCCAGTCATCCGGTTCCTTGGCCTTTTAGCCCTTTTGGTGTTTAGTGGGTTTTCCATTTAGCCCACTAAAAGTTAAACTGTTGGCGGGGGATCTGAGGGCAGCCCAGATAAACATGTTGGACCTTCGCCAATGAATCATAATTTTGGGTTGCAACTTGCCGCATTCTTTTAGTTGGAATTTTGAGGGTCCAGATGTTTAACCCACTGACGTAGGAGTTAAGCAGCACATTTTGAGCTGAAGGGCATGGGAGGTTTGGAGGTATGGTGAGAAGAACAACTTCTTTGGGGGTATACAGTGCCTAGCTGCCTAGCTTGCATTGGCACCCCATAGCTCCGAAACCAAGGGAACACTTTTTCCTTTGAAAATGCCAAAGCTCCCACTCCCATACCTGGAAATGTGGAGAAAGTTCTCAGCAAACCTTTTGCAAAGGGTCAGTCTTGGGCCGAGTGTGGCAGCTGAAGCATCGTGATTTTGGTGCTTTGGATTGTGTTGGGGGGTTGGGCAAATGGGAAACCACTTGGGAACACCTCCAAACCGCCAATGGAACCCAAGAACTTTCCGCCCCCTCAAACTTCCCTTCAAACAGTCCCAGAATGAGGCAAATCCCCGGAGCTTTCCGGGTCGTTGGGTCCGGGTCCGGGAAGCCAGCGAGGCTGCGGTCGGCCACAGTGGCACGCTTCCGCGCACGCGGCGTGCCCCACACTCGTCCTGCAGGCGGATCCCGGCCCGAGGGCTAGAGGGCTCGAGGGCTCGAGGGCTTGGGGGACTGCATGGTAGACTATCATTTACATGTGGGTGTGGCAATCAAAATTGAGCAGGAGGGGCAAAACGCAGGTCTTGGTCCATGGTTCCACTTACCAGGGCAACCCATTTTGGTACCGGTTTTTTGAGCCACAGCCATGTGTTACATGGGGATTTATGCCCACCAACCCCATTCCCATTGAAACTCATGCGGCTGTGGGTCAAAACCGTTTTGGGATCCCATTTTGGGGTGGGTGAATTCACCACCCATTTTAGAACCTATTTTAGCACCTCTTTGGGAAACAAATGGCTCTGGGTCCAAACCAATGGGATCCCATTAGTGGTTGGATTGAATCGGATGTTCACTGGGGGTACGGGCTTTGGCTTTTGACCCATGACCGTATGACCCTCAGCCCTGGGGTTCAGTTACCCAAAAACAACAAACAAGACGACTGTCACCACATGGGACAAATTCCCCATCATTTAGAGAGAGGCATATTGAGCAACCCACATCTTTTCCCACTTTGTTCAAGCCTGAAATAGTGTTCGCAATCATCCCACAGTAAAACTCACTTCCTGAGTTCATGAACTTTAAACTTTTTGGGACGACAATTTTAGTGGCAAATATAAAGTTTGATTTTTTTGGGCCATCCACTCAGCCAGTGAGAAAAAAAAACCCGGGTTATTCACAAAGTGGGAGGTCTGGAAGCATTGGAATGAACAGCCCGAGTCAAAAAAAGGCCCTGGGGTTCAGTTACCACCACTAAAACCCAGGAAGATAGGTTGAAGATGGACCTGGGCATTTCTGACGCCCTTTTTGACACATGTTGATAGCGTATGTGTTGAAGGGACTTGGACCCCAGCATGGATTGTCAGTTCCCATTTCGGCTTGCATTGAACCTTGAATCAGCTTGCCCCCAATTGGTGGCTGTTGCTTTGGTGTTTGGATTGGTGGTTTACCAAATTTAATGTTAACCCCGGATTAAGCAGAACCCCTGGTTGCTTTTGATCGGGGGGTGTCCCCTTTTAGTGGTTGGATTCAGACCACTTTTGGAGGGGTTTTCACCCCCCTAATGGAACGGGTTCTACTTAGATCCTGGGTCAACATTACTCTACCACTTCAATTCCCAGGTCCTTTAAGGCACTTAGGTCTCCAGGGTCCCCTAGACCTTTTAGCCGACCGAGGGAACATTTCCTGATGGACGAAATCCGCGAGTCTCGCACCTGGTTGAAACCGTAACGTTTGTTGGGTGGTTACTGCGGAATGGCATCATTCCGTTGGGCTTCTTAAGTGGTGCAGAATGGATTTTGTCCATCCAGAGCATGGGCAGTGCTTCAATAATTTGCTTTGGCAAATTCTCCAAGTTTCCCTAGGGTGTGAGGTCTTTTGGGGTCATTTCGGCCCTGTTTGCGTGTGGTTATTTTGTTTACTCCCAGGTTTTGCATGTTTTCCCCGAGAAACCAAAAGTTATAAGAATTTCTAAGGGGGGGTGGGTATTGTACCTTGCGGTTCCTTAGGGTTCCTTAGAGAGCCTCTGTGAGCCTTTTTGGGAGCCTTAGGGAACCATTCTCCTTGGACCACCCCCCCACTAAAGGATTCCCACACAATTCCAATTAAACAAAATGGGTTCTTGCACCCCAAAACTATGATTGGTGAAATCCAACTTCTTCTTTTTTTATAGGGTAGTTCTTTCGGGTCCACCCAAAATGCGCCAAATGTGTTTTTCCCGGGATGTTCTTTTGTTCCAGGCACCCATGCAGGGGAAAGGACCGCTTCCTTTGGCTCGGATGGACCAGCCCAAAACTACATGGTTGGTGAAATCCAACTTTTCTTCAATGGGTATGTAGTTCTTTCGGAAACCCACCCATGCAGGGCAAAAATGTCTCGCCTCCTTCCTCCTGAAAGACGGAGTCCCTTGCTGAAAAGGACCTCCTCCTTAACTAGGTCCCCCAGTAGTGCCCTTCGACCAACTTTTTTGGGGGGGTTCCCCTAAAATAGATGTCCTGAAAAAAGTGCCTATCTACTGGAGGAAAACATGGCCCGCCTCCTTCCTCCTTACAGGAGAGGAAGGGAGTCCCTTGCTGAAAAAAGGGACCTCCTCCTTAAAGGCGCGGACCTTTCGAAAGACTACAGCGAAAAAAGAAGTTGGTACCTTGATTCTAGCCTCTCTCTACTGAAAAACCTACACACCCTTACAAAATTTGTTACATTGCCATGTATTTTGGGCGTTTCGGGCGGGTTTAGTGGACGAGGACCCTCCTCCAAGAGGGCGGACCTAAACCCAGCCGCGCCCTCTTCGACCATAAGACGAGCTCGTCAGTCGGGAGGTGCCCTTCTCCGCGCTGGAGGCCGCCCTGGAGTCCAACAAGGCGCGAGCGTCTTGGAGCGCCCCCAGCGCCGCCGCGTCGAGCGATCGAGCGGCCCTTGCTGGGGGTGGATCCGTGTTCATCCCGCCGTGTCTGCCGTAGCTACTTGTTAAAAACAAAGAAAAGAGGAATAAAACATGTTATCTTTAAAACAAAAGAAGAAGAATAAAAAAACAAACGAGTCCCCGCCTCAGCGCCAGGCTCGGTTTGAACTCTGCCCGGCCATGCTTCGAAAAATGGGTCACGCTCAAATCTCCATGGCCCCCGAAATTTGAGTCACACTCAAACCGCGGGGAAGTGAAGAAATTGGGACAATCCCAATGACAAATAGTTGCGGATGTTCATGGCCCCCAAAAGGCTGCTCAAAGAAAATGTACTTCAAAATGGCACCAAAAGGCAAATGGAGCCAAAGACAAGAACCTGCGGTTTGCCTCAGCTCTTTAGTTTTGAGCCACACCCGCCAGAGTCGCAATCAAACCCCGGGAAAGTGAAAAAATGGGACAGTCCCAACCAAAAATAGTTTCGGCCGCCTTCTAATTTTTTGACATTCGGGGTGGACCATTTTAACGCCTGATTTTGATTGTGACGCAAATGGGCATGGGTAACTTTTCTTATTTAGAATGGGAAATATCATGTTTTGTTTTATAGTTTTTCCGCATGGTCGGCCTCCTGGAGCCCTCAAACTAGCCATATCAAAAGGCAAGTTGGGGTAACCACCCATTCTTAAGTTGAAATTGTGACGCTCCAGGAACATGCTGAAATTCTAGGGGTTGATCCTCCATTCTTTTCAACCATCGTTCTTTTCAAAAACCAGCTGTTTCCCCAGGGTTTTTGGTGGTTTTTTGGAAAGAAGGATGCCTGGAAAGAATGGGGAATCAAGCCCTAGAGAAATCGATAGTTGCTCACGAATCCCTCCGGACGCAGAGGTTTTAGAACTCCGCTCATTTCTCATTTGGCCTTCATGAGGCGAATGAATCAGCAAGCTTCACCCGGCTATGTGTCATAAATAGGAACCCCTTCTTATGGTGTGTTCCTTTCGGTCTCTCTAAAAATGGAATATACCCCACAAACGAGTGAAGATAGCAAGGGGGTTGACCTCTCGGTTTTGCATGGTCATACCCACAACAGTAACTGGGGAAGCTCAGTTCCGTGGATTGGCCGAGAACATTCACAACTGGCGTAGTTTACTTTCCACCGAACCTAACCCCAATGTATCGAGTCCAGCGCTTCTGCGGCAATTTGTCGAACATTGCCCGGGACGTGACCGCAGCAAACACACAGGACCACCAGAGTGCGGGGGGGGGGGGGGAACTCGGCTGCGGAGGAAATGGGTACCGCCCTGAAAAAATCAACTCAAGCATGTTGGTTTTTGCAACCCCAATTTGTAGTTGGTGAATTCTCTGTATGGGTAGTATTGTTTGGTAAATTCTCTCCTCAATGGGTACCTGGAGTCTCCATCCCTGAAAAAATGGGGCCATTATCCAGAATAAAGTGGTCATGGACCCATTTTTGCTTCGGGTCATGGAGCCTTTCGCCGTCCTCTGACACGCCACCGCCAAAGGCTTGGCGCAAAGGGTTCATGATTGACCCACCAGAAAAAGGTTCTCTCAAGCGGCACCCGCAATAAAGCAGCAGACGCAAATCCAGAACCAGAACACCCAACACAAAGTCCGGGAATGCTTTGCTATCGAATGTGTTGTCACACAATCCCGTCTCGTTCAATTCCAGTGTTCGCAAAAACGAAAACAAGCTTTAATGCCAGTTTCCGATGGGCGCGAAAGCACCGCGCAAGCGATTGCCTCACCAAAACATTTCTTGTGACGCGGCACCCTCACACCAAATAAGATTGGGGGGAGGTCATGGGGGCAAGGGTGCTAAGGTCCCTGACTAACGCTGGGAACCACCCAACAAAAGCCCTTTTGCGCTTGGCTTAAGTGGAAAGCAAAGGTAGGAGGCTACAACTTGTCGGGTTCTCAGTATGGAGTTTTCGTGGGAATGAACCGGAAGGAGATTCACTAGGAAGGTACACGTTGCATATATTGTCTGGGCTCATTCCCCATTCTCTGCTGGCTTTTTGGTTGATTGACTTAAATGCTGCTCAGTGAGAGATAAAGTGGAATCCCATTCTAGTTGCGTGTGTGGGTCTTGCAAGTACTTGGTTGGCGTAGCCGCTTGCCAAATACGCGAAGAGCAAGGGCGCGGATGGCACTTCATCTAAAAGGAGTCGGCTTAAGGCTTAAGGGAAGCGGGCGACCAACTTTGAGCATAGCTTTGGGGCAACCCATTTGCTCCATTTGTAAGGGAGTTTTGAGGGTCCAGGTATATGATAATTCCAATTTGTCGATGGGCGACAACTTATAACCCGACTCAAAGTTCGCAAGTGGAGTCGAAGTGGCAAGTGGATTCTGAATCCTTCAGTCTGCCTAGTTTATCGCGAGCTCACCAGGTATCACAAGCTCATGATAAAGGTCCTTGGGGATCCGATTCTTTCAGCTTCTGGAATCGCCGCATGTTTTGACGCCACAAAGGGTCGAAGAGTTGAGCTTCAAGGCCCCAGAAATGAAGCTCGAGTTCGGGGGGGTTCGTCTTGAATCACGCAAAGCGAACATGGGGCGGTCCTAAAAACGGCCCACGTAAAGCAAGGTGAGGCGGGAGCGGTCACAGCAAGGCAAAGGAACTGGATTGAGCCCATTGTGGTCCAGCCAGCTATTGTTGTTGAGCTCCTGCGGTACGAAGGGGCGCAACTTCTTCAACCTACCAGACCCTTGGGCCCCTCAAAGAGAAGCCGAAAGGAGCCTGCACCCTCAAGATTCCAACGTAAAAATTGGTTGTTGCCCCAAATTTATGGCCCGAATGCCATTTTTGTATGGGTAGTTTGAGGGTTCAGGAGGCTATTTAAACAATGGCTGCTTCTTTGCATGTGTTAACAAGGGGTTGTTTTTGGTTTTGCTTTTTGTTACCTTCTTTCCAACTTCCGGTAATCTTCCTGTGGCCTTCCTGAGAACTCCTGGTTTCCCATACCACCAAAACACGTTTTTTTTGTTTTTGTCTCAAACAATGATGGGGCCGTGCTGCAAAGATACACATACACACCTCATGCGTGGCTCTGTATAATATATATATATATATACACCATAGACACAACATTGCACCCATTCATGGGTTTGGTTGTTTGATAGAAGTCATACATGGAGTGTTCCTGTCAGGCGGTGGGCCATGCTGTGATGCTGTGGCTCTTCAAGCTTGCGAGTTTGCAGGCGACGGACGTCTCAAGGGTTTTCCATTGAAGCACCGCGTGGCACCTGGTGCAAATTGAAGTTGAGGACTCCAAAGGATGGGTGGGTGTTGCTTACTTCCTGGTTCCCAGCGAATCGTCCGGGTCAACTTAGGTTTGTAGGCTTTTGGCCATTTCTCCCACTAAAAGTTTAGCAGTGGATCTCAGGAAGAAAGTCCATAGGTTCCTCCAAACACGACGGAAAACAAATTTGTGGGTCCCAGAGCCTTTGGGGAGGAGGTTGCCACCAACCGCTGATCCAACTCTTAAAACTTGGTGGTTAACCCACTACAAGTTGAACTTTCAGCAGGGGATCAGTTTGGACAGCCCAGAAGTTCATAGCCAACTGGACGCGTTTTTGTCTTGGGCATGGGCAAAGCGACCACTTTCAGCAAGGAAGCCCCGATGTGCCTCCGCTTTTGGTGGTGGCATTTCGCGAGGAAGCCCCAAACCCTCTCTGAGGGTCGGTTTGGGCACTTGGGCCGTTCAGGCAGATCTTCTGAAGCCCTCGTTCGGTTTGTGCAACTGAAGCCCTTGAAAGGGGTGAAAGGGGTGGGGTGGGGGGGTACGCATAACCCAACCCATCTATGAAGATCCAAGGGTTCATGTTGGGGTGATTGTTGCTACTTTATTCATAAGGGCAATACTCTCCCCCAAAAAATCAAAACAAGTCAGGTGCAACATTGCTTGTTTGCTATTGGGTTGGATATTAGACTTTATTTGGTTGGCTGGCTTTCCGTGCTGAACCCAGAAAAGGTTTTGACCTTGTTGCAGAGGGGTCGTTGCAGCAACCACGAGATCCGAATAATTTTCGAAAACAATGGATCCGCTAACTTCCATGACTATTCCTTATTTTCCCTCGTAGTTTTAAAGCAAAGCGGTTTATGTACTGGGCATATTTATCATTTTGTTCGAGGAGAGTTAAGCAAATGGATCCCCCAAACCTCGACTCATCCAAAGCTTGGCTTATATAAGGTTCTTTCAATCTCTCTACTTCTAATGGGCCTTTGCTCATCTGAATTCAAGGACCCTCAAACTGGCCATAGTGAACAGATGGATCACAGCGCCTTTGGACAAGTGGAAACCCATCTTTGCTCATCTGAAACTTTGATTGTTTTAGTGAAGTCACTGCCTGGACCCGAAAGAACTAGCAAGCAGGAAAATGATTTTGGAAAGAATCTCATCAATCAACAACCCCTTGTTAACATGCCTGCACCCTCAAACGTCCAAGTTAATGATGCTTATTTTGCAACCCAGTGATTTTGTCTCATATATGTATATACATATATACACATTTGGGGGGGATTGAGGGTTCAGGTTGCCATAGAACAAGTCGGGATTTACCAATCCCAGCATTTTGTGTCGCAACATATGAGGATCCACGTGCCTTTTTTCTGCCCTCAAACATGCATTTGGGCAAAGCTTGCAAATTCGGCTCGCCAACTGGATGCCTTTAGTTTGCCCTTAATTTTGCACTGGGCCAAAGCTCTCTTTTTGATTTTTCAATTGGAGGACTGTGAGTTGTCAGGAAAACAATGCATTTGGCCAAAGCTACTCAATCTGACTTTGCAGAAACATCCCCAGCACAGCAAGCTGCAGGGCGTTCGGTTATACAGTTTGCAGTGCCAAATAAATGGAGCCTCGCACGTGTTTGGCTGACTGAATGGCCCCTTTTTCGCTTGTTTGTTGTGGAAAAGGTTTGCATTATGCTGGCCCCCTCTTTCAGTCAGGAGATATCAGGAGGTACCACATTCAAAACAGAAGACAAACGCAACAAGTAAGCATTCAACACATCCGAAGACCCCTCCACCAACCCTTTTGGCAACTGATTTGGCAGCCTGATTATGGCATCTTACTTGCCAACTTCTACTTCACCAAGGAACTTGACCGAACAACAAAAAGAAGCACAATAAAAATATAACAACAAAAAAAAAGCAGAAACACAACGCACAGTTTCTCCACCAAGCTTGGCAGACGCCTAGCTCAGACCATGTCGACTTGGCGAGGTGCTGGATGTGCTGCAGGGGGCTCGCGTGAAGCCCTACCGGCGTATCGACCAGGAGGGCGTCTTCAAGAGAGCCACTCGAGACTCGCGCATGGAGCTGGGGCTTTTCTTTTTTGATTTTTGTTTTTGTAGTTGTAGTTGTTGTTTTCGGAGCTGGGCCGTTTTTTGTTTTTTGTCTTTTCGCGGGAGAACATGGAGCTTTTTTGTTTCTTTTCGCGGGAGAACATGGAGCTTGGCTCCCAGCCATCCGGCTCAACTTTGGCTTTTAGCTGCTTTTAGCTGGTTAAGTGGTCGGGTTTCCAAATTTCACCCACTAGTTGGCTTTTAGCAACAGATCAGTTTGGACAGCCTTGTACTGCGGATGGTCGCGAAACCAGTTTGGACAGCCTTGTACTGCGGATGGTTGCGAAATCCGTAAGTCTCGTGCCATCTAGAACTGAAACCATGGTTGACACCGTAACGATTGTTGGGATGTACGTTTGGGGATCGTATCATTCCGTTGGGTTTCTGAAAGGTGGCGCGAAATGGATTTCGCAACCATCCACAGTATGGAGCCCTTGTTGGGATGATGGTTTACAGGGAAACCATAGATAGCCGCCGGGTTGTTCACCGGAGAGAATGGCATTATCTTCTTGGGACGGTTTTCAAGGGACACCAAAAGGAAACCAACCTATTTTGAGGGGTCCTATTTGGGAGAGACCCAGTTTTGCAGCACGCTTGTTTTGCAAGAATCACAACCAGACCCTGGTTCCATACTGTGGATTGTTTCGAAGACCGCAGCACCAAGGTGGCAAAAAATGGCATTTGTATTGGAAATCGAACCTTTCTGTCGAGCTGTTTGGGTGATAACCCCATTTTTGTTAAGGGTCATGGAGACTCCAGGGTGTGATTTCTGGATGTCGCAACCATCCACACTAGGAACAGCCTAAAGCAGGTTCGGCCAAGCCTTTGAACCTAAGCCAGCTGCGATGGGGTTGAATGTATCTAAATCGTTTAAGGAACCCTCTTTTGTTCCCAGCCACCCTCGAATTACCAACAACAAATGGAGAGAATTCACCAACTCCAGCATTTTGGGTCGCAGCTTGCAACCCATGAAGTCGGATGTTTTTGAGGGCCCTTTGATTTCGACTCAGGTCACTTCCACTTGCGCCTCGTCGCCGGCGATCTTCTCGCGGCGGTAAAGTGGGGTTTTCAGGCTCGGCCATCCCCTCACGTGGATCCAGTTATTTGGCTTGGTGGCTCCCGAAGGCCATCCGGTTCCTTGGCCTTTTAGCCTTTTAGCTTTTGAGTGGTTGGATTTCTATTTAGCCCACTAAAAGTTAAACTTTGAACGGGGGATCTGAGGACAGCCCATATTACCTGGTTTAGTAGGGAACAAAGGGCAAGCGTCACCCTTTCGAAAAGGAAGGTAGCTGGTTGCCTGGCTACAAGCTGAGATCCACTGGGCATAGGTCTTTTTTGATGGTTTTAGTTGGTTTAGCGGTACCTGGAGTCTCCATGCCCCGAAATAAAAATGAGTCAATGACCCCATGCTTTTAGGTAATGACCAACCATTTTTCAAGGGTCAGAAGGAGACTCTAGGTAGATGCATATGCCCGTGCCTTCAAAATGGCCAAGGGAAACCAAAAGGAACCAGCCATGTTCATTGGTCATATTCCATTTTTCATTGGGGGCCCTTTGGTGGAATGAATCATGTAGGCATAGGTTTTAGTTGGTTTTAGGTGGTGTTAGCTGGTTTTAGTTGGTTTTGCGGTACCTGGAGAGTCTCCGATTATATCACACCAAGAGTTGTTAAGCTCCCAGCCGGGGATCGGAAAACGGACTGCTCAGATCTGCTCAGTGTCCTATTTTCTCTTGAAAACCACCAGCCGCTTTTGGATACATTTTCTCTCGGTGGGTTGGCAAGCTTCAGCTTCGGACTGCTGGTAGACACACTGGCCTGCGAGCTTTTTGAGTGGACGACTTGCCTTGCAGAGCTCACCCTTTTCACATGGCGCAAATCTCTGGCTGGAGTTTTGCAGAAGTCTTAACATGGGTGCGTTTTAAGGGTCAGGTATGTGGACATCTGCCCCCGGACCCTGCAGATTCTCTAAAAATAGGGTGATTGCCCCGAATTTATGGTTGGTCGAATCCCGTTTTGTGGGTCGTTTGGGTAGGTGAACTTGCCACCCACGTTTGTCTATTTTAGTGGGGATTGGGCTGGGAGTACGATTTGGATTTTAAGCCATGGCCTTCTGGCGCCGCGTCTTGTCTGTGGCCACAGGCGCCAGGATGGTTTTTTTTCGGGTCCGTGCACCGCCGGGACGGGGGGATAAGGGCAACCCATGGCTCCGGAAATGGCGCAAAGGTATCGACAGCCATCATAAGGGAAAAGCAAACCAAACCTAGGTCCCCCAGTCGTGCCCTTTTACCCTGTTTTGGGGGGAGGGTTCCCCTACTAAAATAGACTACAGAAAAAAGGGGTACCCTTATTCTAACCTCTCTACTGGAGGATCTAGAAACCTGGGGCCTTTGCCGTGTCAGGCTGCGCGCCTGAACCATCGCCACCTGGAACTTCTCGGGACAGGGCGAGGGACAAGATTTGTCTTGACCTGATGTGAATCACTGGCAACTTTGCGCTGCTTGTTATTTCGAGGGAATATTTGTTTGGTGTCAAAGGGAAAACATAAGGATCACAACCTTCTTTATTGAGTTACCCGAATTTTGATGGATACCCATTAGTACTTCGATTTGTTGAGGCTGTAAAGAATTCGACTCACTGGAAGTTATTATTTTAGTTTGGATTGCATCCCAGACAATCCATATATGAGTGATACACGCCAACGTTTGACCCATCTGGAGGTGTGGGCAAATTGCTTTCATGGAGCGTTCTGGTGTGAGCAGCTTACAATATGATTGGTCTACTACTGGTGCGGGGGAGGAGAGGAGGGACACCCCAATTTTCCCGCAAAACAACCGGACAACCCAACTGCACAAATTTAATGGGAAACCTAAAGGACACTTCATTTGTCCTTGCGCTTTTGTGGTTTTAAAGGGAAACCAACAGGGTCACCGAAATCCAGTTTTGGAACCGGTTCCCTAAAACAACAGACCCATATCGTATGTTTGGGAAGCGGCGAATCGAAGGCAGGAATTGCTTTCAAAACGAAGAATCGCCCTCCGGCAGCCGCCTGGCTGCCATAGCTTCTCGCCGGAGTTTACAGGATCTCTTGTTCCATTGGGTGCTTCCATGGTAAACCTCTCGTGAAAGCCCATCTCCCAGCTACAGCAATCAACCCGGACCCTCAAAATTCTCTAAACATTGGCTGTTGCGTTTAAAACTACGGGCTGAATTCCGTTTGTTTTTGGTATAGTTTGAGGGTTCGGAAATTCTCCCTTGTCCACAGCAAATCGATTTGTTGTTACCTTTTGGTATTCCCATTTTGGTCCATGTTTGTCATCGCCCCAACAAGTTGACCTTTTTTGCTTGGGTCCCTAAGGGGCAACGGAAGCTGCAGCAGTCAATTTCAGGAGAATGATTGGCCAATCACCATTTCTACACGCCATGATGATTTCCAACAGAAACTACAAAATCTGTACAGACCCCCCAACAGCTAGGGATTCTCAGACAATGTTTTCCTGTTTTTCCCCGGATGTCAGGAAAACCTGGCGGTTGACTCTGCTCCCCCCGTCCCCCCCCCCCCCCCGCCCAACAGTGAAAAGCAATTCTCAGCGGCAATTTGACAGTCCGGGTTGTTCTTGGTACTGTACGCAGTGTTTTCAGGGCTGGTTCGGCTCATTGTTTGGGGGGCTGCAAAAATCGATTGAACGAAGAACCTACCCGCTCCAAATTCCAACTTTAAGCATGGGCTATTTGCCCATATTTGCTCACAAATTATGGCTGGCGAATTTCCTTTTCATGCCTACCCGAACCCTCAAAGTACCGATAAAAAATGAGATTTACCCCATATTGGCTTGGCAATACCCCATTTTTAAGTTGGACTTCGGGTCCAGGAAGCTCCTTCGGGTTCAGGTGTTTGGATGAACCCTTGGCCCACTCCGACTTGCGGGTTGAAGCGCGAAGAAACGAAGCCTCGCGCTGTCCTGCTCAACTCCGGCGTGCGGACAACATCCGTTTCTGCGGCCCCGAAACCGGCGAAATGGGTGTCACAGCCGGCTCCCTGAACCCTAAAATTACCAACAAACAAACAAAAAGGGAGATTTGGCCCCATGAGTTTTGGGCCATCACGCAATTTTTTGAGGGGATTTCGAGGGTCCAAGTAGCTTGCTCTTGATATGCCAAGCTCCCGGCAGGAGGCCCAATGGGCCGGTTTCCAGCGCTCGCGAATCTCCGGGGCCTTGTTGAAAATACGCGTTTCGGCCCCGGAGTTCAATAGATTAGTGGCATGCGCATCAAGCCACGCCCAGAGACCAACTGGGGTCGTTATCTCGGAGTTTGCTGGACTTTGGAAGGCACAAAGTTTGAACCTGGAGTCTAAGGAGAGTCCTTTAATAATGTTGGCCCCGGATGAACAAACCCCTGTTTATTAATGGGGGCGTCCCTGGTAGTGGGAGTCATCACTTTTGGAGGGGAACACCCCCAGAATAATAAACAGGGGTGTATTAACCCGGCATCAACATTACTGTGGACAAAATCCTGCACCACCGAAGAAACCCTCGAGCTCACCTGAGGGTATAACGAGCTCACCATGACAAAGGTCCCCTTTACTTGGGGATCCCTTACTTCAGCTTGTGGAATTGTCGGAAACATTGCAGAATGATGATTCCCCTCTAAATACCAACAAAGAATGGCTTTCCATGGTTTCAAAGTGGTGCGAAATATCTTTCGTATCCAGATTAGTTCTAAGATTAGAGCTGCTCAACCAGATGTGGATTCTAGGGCTCTGAAAGATGCGTGCTTGAAGCAATTCGAGTTCGTGACCCAAAACTGATCATGGGCCTCTCTCACTCTCTGGCTTTTTGGTTGCCACTCTTTGCTAGCTGGTCATAGTTTCCTTTCTGCTGCTTGCTTCTTTTCTTCCCAGAACGGACCCCAGCTTGTCTTCGACAAAAAGAGGGTCACTGGTTTCAACTGGGCCGTTTTCCCGGATCCATCGCTTTTTTTCCCCTCTCAGCGGCCCAATCTACCTGGCCAATGGGGTTACGCCTTGCAAGTGAGATTTTCTGGTACATGGACCCTCACAATTCTCTTCATGCGTTGCCGAAAACGAAAAAAAACATGGGGTTTGAAATCCCTGAGTTTGAGGGTTCAGCGTTGTTGCCGAGAAAAAACATGGGGTGAAATCCCTTGTTTATTGATAGTTTCAGGCTTTAGGTACTTTCCTCAGTGCATCAGCCGAGAAGAATCAGTCGCGGCTTTTCGGGTGAGAAGCGCCGCGCCATCGATTCCATCCACAACACATGGGGGTTGATTCGGCCCCTTGTTTTGACTACCTGCAGTCTCCATGACCCTTTAAACATTGGTCCATGACCCCTTTATTGTAGGTAATGACCCCATTTTTAAAGGGTCATGGAGACTCCAGGTATAGGTAACTTGTCCAATTTAGTCGTCCTTTGTGGTGGTTTCCCTGATGGTTGTTCCACGTAAAGGAGGTTCTTGATCAACACCTACATCGTTAAGTTGGGCCTTGACTTGATGAGATGCGAAAGACCTTCAGCAAACCGCGTGCAAGAAGGTGCCGAGAGAAAACAATGCAAGCGCGCTACGCGTGAAGCACAAGCCATCCTTAGAACGTCACCAAGCCCTATGACGGTGTGTCTTTTTTGAGGGTGCCCCTTTTTGGTCTGTTTTATAGGGAAACCGATAGGACAACCAATCAATTTGGGTGTCCCGGTTAAAAGTAATAATAAACACACACACACACACACACGCACGCACGCACAAACACACCCCCACATGTATATCAATAATATATATATATATATAAGTGTATACGTACGAAGAAGTAGATCAACCCCGACTCAAACGGTCGAACTCAAGTTGTGGCAACTGTCAATGTTTCTGGGGGCGAAAGTTGATACCGTTGACGTAGGCGTGCTTTTCTCCAAACCTTCCGAAGAGCTATCTGAAAAAGTTTTTCCTTGGGCCGGTAGTGGGAATCCCGGGGACCGTTGGAAGTTCAGCAAACGCGTGAACCCCCCTCAGAATTCCACCTTAAACATTGGTTATTACACCAAACATATTATGTGATTTTCATTATCTTATGAATAGTTTGAGTTTCTGTGGACAAGGTGTGATCGCTCAATCTATGGCTTGTGGGCTTCATGATCTTCGGAGGGATCCACAAATGGACCTTCTCTGGTGGTCCATATTTTACTTGGTGGTTCCCAGCCATCCCATGTTTTTGTTTTGGTTTTTCGGGTTTAGTGGGGCATTTAACCCACAAGATAGACTTTTAGCAGGTGATCAGTTTGGACAGCGAAGGAAATCGTTAGGCAGGGAATGAGGGATCCTATATTATTCTACCTGGACCCTCAAAGAACGGTTTTAATGTATATACCGAAATTATGGTTGGTGAATCCCATTTGTTTTATGGGTAGTCTGAGGGCCCAGGTAAAAGCCATTTGTTTGGTGGCTTTCTTTGAGGGAATCCGCTTCCAGTTCATTCCCACTACTTGCTTCAAAGCAACAAAACAGCTTCCCCCCGTGTCCTTTTTTTGACACACGAAGCATGGCATAGTTCCCCTACACCCTCTTTGGTTTGCACACCCTTGCCAATGTCTGGCTGACCTTGCCTCTGCCAAACTTAACTGCTTACTATTTGGCTGCCAAGACCGGCACCGTGAAAGGAACACCCTGGAGTAAACCGCAGAACCACTCAAATAGCTGCTTCTTTGGGGGCCCGGGCAGTCGTGAGCCTTTGGGCAAGGTGCCGAAAAACTTTTCGAAGCGATAGCACCGAGGGCGTCTTTGCTTAGTCATATGCTAGTTATTTTTCCCGGGTTGGTTTCAATGGGAATATGTCACTACTGGGAATATGTTTTTCCAGGGGACTTGAGCATGTGAACAACCAGCCATTTGGAGAGAACCATCCATTTGGCCGCAAGCTTGGCTGCAAGAGGCCCATGGCAGCATTCCGTCGTGCGCCACCCGAAGATGCACGTTGCGGGAATGAACACTTGTTTGATACAAAAGCACCTGCAAAATTCAGAACTCTGTGAGAGTTTTTTTTCTTGTACAACACAAATTGCCACTGCCCGCAATGCTTGTTCTCCATACCGGTCCATACCCAACTCCCCAATCCATGGAGCAAAGAAGGGGGGGCCCTTGACGCCTCTAAACATGATAGTTGGGTGTGTGCTTCGGAAGCCAGATGTGGAGATTTGAAAGCCAGATTCGGAAGCTAAAAGGACACTACCCCACCCCACCCCCACCCCCACCAGATTGAACAGGAAACCAACAGGAAGCCAAAAGGAAGCTCACAGAAAACTCCCTGACCCAGAGCCTCCATAGCACCCCCACCCCCACATCCTCACCCCCACCCCCCACGTCGAACCCCACCCCCCTCCAGCTAGATGCCGCTGACTCAAGGCATCTCCCAGCCCGTGTTCTCCGAGTTCATGGACCTCCAACAAGACTTGGCAAAGGCTTTGGATGGCGCGGAGCCCGAGGCTTCGAGGCTTCACCTTGAGCGAC